TTGGTGAACCACCTTGCGCTCCCAAGTTGGTTGAACAAGTTTGCAATGAGTGGAATATGATATTTATTCTTGATGGTCAGCTTATTCAAAGCTCGTTAGTCTAGACATAATCATAACGACTCATTATGCTTGCGTTGGAACAGAATCAGGGCATTATATGACGTTTTATATGGCTTGATAAAGCTAACATCAACTAACTTCTCCAACTCTAGTTGGGACATTTGGTAAGAGGTTTTAGCTGGTGGCTTGGCCTTGGGCACTAACTCGATCTTATGGTCCACCTCATTTTTGGGTGATAGCTTACTAGGCAGCTTTATGGGCATCATACAACTAAAGGTCTTCAGCACCTTTAGCACTTTCAAAGGGGTGTTGGTCTCTTTTTCCCTCGATTTTTCACACTTTAGGGATGCCAAAAAGGTGTCTTCATCTTTGCTTATAGCCTTAACAAATTGAATGGCTGACACCACTTTAGACCTAATCCTGGACTCGCAACTTAATGGTATAAAGCATTGGCATCGTGCATCCATAATGCATATACAATTGGTAAAAGGCACAAGGAGGGTCTTAATCTGAACAAAAAAATCTAATCCAATCACAAACTCATAATCATCCAAGGGTATTACCTCAATGGTTTCATTGTCCTTTCAATCTCCAAGCTATAACTCCATTCCCCATGCTACTTCAGTGGTTAAAACTTTCTTGGAGTTCATTGTCTTAATGGTATTGGTCCCTTTCTGCACCTTCAGTCTGAGTTTCTATTCTCTATCACTTGAAAAAAATAAATGTGAGGCACTTATGTCCACTAGTGGTTCACTTTTTTGCCTGCAACCATCAGATCCGTAAACATCAAGCCTTTTGGCTTACGGTTCCCTTTACTCTAGATAACATTGAGCACCAACGACCTAAGCTTTACTGTCCTTACTTCTGGCTCCTCATCCGACTCTTTGTCTACAATAGCCAGCTTGCCCTTTTGTTTGTAGTTACGCATTATGTGGCTTCCTCCACATAGGTAGCATGAGAGCGGCTCTTGGTCACTTTTTACCTTTTATTTTTCTACTGGTGGTTTTTTTTCATCATTTTTGTTCAAATGATCTCAATCCCTATCCTTGGACTTCGATCACGGTCTTTTCTCTTAGACTATCTCTTTCGATCCCTTTTATCCTTGCCCTTTCCCTTGGGCTTGGAAGACTTGAACTTGTTCTATGGTTTGAACTCTACCAAAGACTCAGCAGTAGTTATGGCTTTAGTCAGGTCACAAACTCCCTTTTATTGTAGCTCGTGCTTCACCCACTGCTTCAGCCTATCCATTAAGGGAAATAGACCCTCTGTCTCGTTCAAATCCAAGATTTAAAATATCATTTCAAAGAATTTTTGGATATACTCCTTTATATCCTCTTATTGATTAAACCTGCATAACTTTGCCCGCACCTCATCATTAGCTTGCTCCAAGTAAAACTGCTTCCTGAACTCTTTTTTAAACTCTGCCTAGGTTCCAATCATGGCACATTCGCATCGGACATCATCACACCTGTGCCTTCACCATAATAAAGCAACATCAATAGGATACATAAAAGCGATGCTTAAATTGGTAGCATCATCTTGCATGCTCATGGCTCGAAAGTACTGCTTCATTCCTTATAAGTAGTTATCTACTTCCTTGACTACCATTGTCTCATTAAACTCTTTGGGCTTGAGAATCTCCACATAGGTCTTAGACACTCCAGCAAATATGTCATTCCCAATGGCAGTCTTGCAAGCAACAAGCTCGCCCCTGAGCTCCTCTATCTCTCTACGCATGGCCTTCATCCCATTGTGCATGATCTCCACCTGAGCTTTCAAGACTTCGTTCCTTTGGGTGATATATCGAGGCTTTTATTAAAAGTAGCTTGCAACTCACCCTTGAGCTCTTCACCCACGGAGTCTAGTGTTTCAACATGAGTTTCCACATCGTCTAGCTTCTCTTTCACATCACCCGTGTTTACCTTCATCTTGGACAGCCTCTCATCCATGGTAGATCAAATATCTCTCGAACTGGCCTTCTTGCCCCTTCCACGGCCTTGCTCCTGGGCCTTTGGTTGTTGGCTAGCAACATCGCTCTGGGATGCCATCTCTTCGACTGCAATCTAACCTACACACAAACACAAGTAGAATCGAAATTGAACCTGCTCTGATACCAACTGTTATGGGCTCCGACCTAAGACTTAGAATTCATGTGGCCTTAGGCTTGGAATCACCTAATTCTAGCTTAAGTAAGCCTAAAACACAAGCATACGGGCACTAGAACAATTGGAAAGACAGAATGCGTAAGTTTGAAAAAATAAGAGAATAAGAGAATTGCTAGAATATGCACTGTATATTACTGAAGTAAAATGCCTGATGATGTACAAAGGAAGGTAGGGTGACCCTCTATTTATAATTGAGGCCCTCAACTACACTTATGGCTAAGCTTTAAAATCATGGGATTATAATATCTCCTAAAAATCAGGAATTACATAGATTACACATTAATACAAAAAGCTTATCCTAATTTTTAGGATCAACCAAATCTTGCTAATCTTGTGTGTTTCTAGAAGATCTTGGAGCACACTTACTCCCTTGGGCCTTCCTGGATGTGGTGTGGGCATTTTGTAGGCTTGGACCTGGCTATGCGATAGGCCTACATGCTCTACGGGTTGTCTGGACTATTCTCTAAGGCCTAATGCGCAAACTCCCGTCAATACCCTTGGTGTGCAAGCCTTAACCTCTGGTGTACGAGCCTGTGTTCCTGGTACGCCCGCCCAGAGGATGACATAAGGCCCTAGCTAGCGGGTTATAATAGTTAGTAATAATAATGATGATGGAATTATTAATATGGCCAATGTCATAGGTTATGATAATGGCCGTAACTAATGATAAATGAATGATAATAATGATTTATGATGATTTTTAAATATTAATCCATAATTTAGTTTAATTACGATATTTGAATGACGGCATATTTTGAAATTATTCATAAATTGATATATTTGATATTGATTTATGAATTTACAAAATGTTTGACAAAACGATGATCTTTGAAATATTTTGATATTATGATTTGATGAATATTTTAAATTATCTATATAAATATATAAAAACGATGCTTAATGCGATAAAGTGTTTAAGCCTATACTTGTTGAGCTGTAGTTTGCTTATTCTACTTTTACTTTTTCTTTTCAAATGAGTGAGTGATAAGTTTGCTTAGTTATATGAAGAGATAGAAGATGATATTGGAATGGTTACTCGGACATTAGAGATATTGTTAGCTAATGAGATCTTATAAAACGATTTTGTATTTTTATTAATTTGTATTTAGATATATAAATATTTATTATTAGTTTATTAAAAAAATTTAGAATGAATAAAAAAAAAGTTTTCTATTACTTTAAGATTTTACTTTAAGATAATATAATCATATTGCGTCTCGTTATAGAAGTGTGACACTAATTAACCTAAATTATCATCTAATCATTTCAAGTGAAAATTGGTTGGTACGTGAATTAATTTATTATAATCAAATAAGTTTAATATTTTCATAGTAATAGTAAAATTAAAATAATTTATACATTCATACTATAATTGAGTTTGAATTAATACTTTAATCCGAAGTTTCCCTTGGTCTTGCCGTCGGATGTTTAAATTTTGTATCGATGGTACGCTGCAAGTAGGCATGGAGAAGAAAGCGTTATGGAAACTACAGCTTGACAGCCGCCATATATTTTTTGTTAAAGCCGCAGCCTCATTTCATTGGATCGAACTTCACTCCTCTTTCAGTCCAGCATTTTTTTGTTTTTCCTTGTCAATTTTGGGACAATTGCTAGTATATGAAACCAGATTAAAGTATATTTAATCTTAATTACCAACTAGGAGACTAAGTTGAGAGCCGGCTCTCTTGTCCTGTAATGAATATTAAAACACAGAATTGCCCTTTCAAATGTCATAGGTGAGAATGTTACTGCTATGATCGAGGCGTAGAGACCTATAAAAGTTTATATCCCTTGATGATAGTAGAAGTTTACAAGATTCCATGGACAATCAATATCGTTTTTTCAGGAAGAAGGATATGGGCAGTGATCAGACATTGGTTTGTGTAAAGCGAGTGAAGCAAGATGAAGCAGAAGAGTGGGATGAAAGCATGCCATTGCCTGGAGACATTATTGAGGGGTTTGCTGAAAATGATGCTGATGAGTTTTTTTTGCCTGTAAAAGCTAGATCTGAACTAAGTTCACAGCTTGGAAAGATCTGCCAGAAGGTGGAGACGATCTGGGTGAAGGTTAGAAGGGGTGATGGAACACATAAGCTTTGTGTTCGTGCTGTGGCAGAGAAGAGTTCAATGCTCTGCATAGGAAGTATACAATTAGAGCGGCTAGGGATGACAGGCATGTTGCAGTTTTAGGAGACATGACCTTAGAACAATGCACTACACTCCAAGGTAGGCATCTTTAATTTCCTTTACTCTTTCATACTAGGGCCATGCTGCTGTTCCTTTCAATTTCGACTTGATTTTGCAAGACCATGAGGTCCGGAACGAATTTTGTTTAATACAAATTTCAGAAAAAAGGAACTGTATAACAGCTAGAGGCAAAAATATGACAACTTGTTCCTGCCCTTTCTATAAAGTCTAAAGACATGACTTTGAATTGAATGAAAGCTTGAGGCTTGAGTGACAGCAAATCCAGAGAAAAGAATCAAATTATGAAAGTTTAAAGTAAACCTTTCTCCAATCCATAATATATGAAAGTAGGGAGAAACTTTTGCTATTGTCAGATTTCAAAACTTTGAAACCATAGTTTACTGAAAACAACAAGCAAAGGGATTCACTGGAAACAATATGAAGAATGAAAGCAACATACTTTCTCTGGGCTCTTTGCCAAAACATTCAATTCAGGTTATATTCGTTTCATTGAAGTAATGTTATATTATATTTGTCTACTGATTAACTCAACATAGTAAAATGGGAGTTTCTGTCTGGCTATGCAGAAATGAGCAGGAGGGTGTTGAATGTGGACTTTAGAGGGTTCAACAGAAAGGAAGTGAAGTATGACTGGAAGAGGAAAGTGGGTACTTACCTGCCAGACCAAGGATCCACTGTCGTTAGTTCCATTCTTTTCCTACCCTTTCAAGGCGAATATTACATTGAGGCTACTATATCCAGTTGCATGGCCTGGTTTACTGCAGCAGTATCATCGGGGGCTCGTCTTGTCTTTGTCGATATCCAAACAGAACAGATCGTGACCTGGGTAGCTCTCTTTCTCAATCTTACTAGTCTTGATGCCAATATTGTTAGGCTAAAAGCTTCCAATCCAATCACACTAACGGAAGCAAAATCAAACAATAAATCAAATACATATGAGACAACAATTTAACGCGATTCGATCTAACTAACCTACATCTACGGATGAGAAACAAGATCCACTAGTTGTAGAGAATTACAAACTTATATCAACTCATCAACCTCACTCAACAATCAATACTCATAAGACATTCTCAATTTCCTCTAGTCCTATGAAATATTCTCAACCCAAACAAACACAAACTCAAACCCTTGTGCACCCTTTCAACATAACCAAACACATACCCATATGCTCCCATACACCATACCTATGTGGACCCTCTCAATCTCCTCTAGTCCACTCACAAACAAACATACACACCCATAAGACGTAGAGCCCCAATACTCCTATGGGGTGTCTATCCCATAAAATCCACTCTCTTACATCTTTTTCTCGTACCTAACCCTGTAGAGACTTCACCTATTTATAACCATACAAACTTGCCCATTAAGAATCCTTCTCCTCTTAGAATTCTTCTCCTGTAAGTCAAACTTACCTATTAAGAATCTTTTTCTTTTTAGAATTCTTCTCTTGCAAGTCAAACTTACCTATTAAGAATCCTCTTTCTCTTAGAATTTTTCTTTTGTAAGTTTTCTTGTCCATCAAGTAATATCTGACAAATCTCAAACAAATCTCTAACAAATCCCAAACAAATCTCTTATGAGATTTGAGTCATTATTCTCAACAATCTCCACTTTGACTCAAATTTCATCAATTATCTGTCTTCATGCTAAACATGCTTAGCTCCACCGGCAATGGAAGTCTCACAATCATCTTCTCTTCTCTTGTGTCTTCACACTTCATACAAACCAATCCTCAATGTTTAAAACTTAAACTCGAACTCTTCTCTTGAATTGAGTTCTTATGGACTTGCTTCTTCCCATGTCTCAAACCATGCACTTCCCACATCTTAAACCTTTAGCTCTTCTCACATCTCGAACTTTCAGTTCTTTCACATCTCGAACCTTCGACTCTTTTTCACATCTTGAATCTTCAACTCTTCTCAAGCTTTGATACCACTTGTTTCAGTTCTTTCACATCTCGAACCTTCGACTCTTTTTCACATATTGAATCTTCAACTCTTCTCAAGCTTTGATACCACTTGTTTCAGTTCTTTCACATCTCGAACCTTCGACTTTTTTTCACATCTTGAATCTTCAACTCTTCTCAAGCTTTGATACCACTTGTTGGGGAACATCGCAGCTCTGATATCATTTGTTGGGCTAAAAACCTCAAATCCAATCACACCAGCGGAAGCAAAATTAAATAATAAATCAAACATACAAGAGACAACAATTTAACGTGGTTCGGTCTAACTGACCTACATCCACGGATGAGAAACAAGATCTACTAGTTGTAAAAATTACAAACTTACATCAAATCATCAACCTCACTCAACAATCAATACTCATAAGACACTCTCAATCTCCTCTAGTCCTATGGAATATTCTCAACCCAAACAAACACAAACTCAAACCCTTGTGCACCCTTTCAACATAATCAAACACATACCTATATGCTCCCATACACCATACCTATGTGGGCTCTCTCAATCTCCTCTAGTCCACTCACAAACAAACATACACACCCATAAGACGTAGAGCCCTAATACTCTTATGGAATGTCTATCCCACAAAACCTTACAACTCTCTTACATCTTTTTCTCATACCTAACCCTATAGAGATTTCACCTATTTATAACCATATAAACTTGCCCATTAAGAATCCCTCTTCTCTTAGAATTCTTCTCCTGTAAGTCAAACTTGCCTATTAAGAATCTCTTTCCTTTTACAATTCTTCTCTTACAAGTCAAACTTACCTATTAAGAATCCTCTTTCTCTTAGAATTCTTCTTTTGGAAGTCTTCTTGTCCATCAAGCAATATCTGACAAATCTCAAATAAATCTCAAGCAAATCCCAATTAAATATCTTATGAGATTTGAATCATTATTCCAAACAAATATTTCTCTTAAATGAATTCTTAAGCCATGTGATTTGCTATCATATTTCTGTTTTAAAAGGATGCTTTTTGTCTATCCGAATATGCATGACTTTTTTTCTAAGCCAAGAGGAACATAAAATTAATCTCTTGTCCTTCGTATCTCTGGCAACATTTTTTTCCCAAGGAGAAAATCATTCCTAGTGGAAAGGAAATAAGTCGAGGGAAGCAACAAAACCCCAGAACTGTAGAATTTGCGCAAGGCATAAGGCTATTGTTCCTACCAGGAGTTGGTGAAGTTTTACTTGAAATGATACCAGAACCAGAAGCAGCTCGATTTGGAATGGACATAAAACGGACAGACGAGGTAATTCCCAAGTCATCTTTCCATTTTTGCTTATGGTAAGAAGAAAATAGTTTAACCAATTCATCTCTCTCTATTGTCTTGTCTAATTATTTGGCATAGGGATTTATTTGCGTCTACTCAGTAACAAAGGGTTCAGCTGCCGATAGTGCTGGGCTTCGGCAACTACTTGAAGAAGCGAATGCCAAAAGGCATCTGCTTGTTATCTCTCGATTAGAAGGCAAGAGTCTAATGCCATCGAGTGTTAGCTCTGCTGGGCTTATAGACTGTTGTGATCATGATGAAATAAAGGACACCCTAACTTCAGCTATCGACCGAATGGATATAATTCAACTCCATATCATGGCCTGGCCTAACCAAACTCGTCCTGACACCCAGCAAGCAATCCCTGCTGCCACCTTCTGGCCACCAAATGGATATTATCACTCACCACCACTGTGATCAAATTCAAATGTGAGAATCAAATCGTTTGGTAATATGAGCAAGTCATTGAATCTGTGTAAATTTTTAATTTCGCGGGTTAAAAAATTATAAATGCAAGCATAAATCCCCTCCTCTCCTTCCATTACCTCCACACAAGTACAAGTCTCCTCCTCCACCTTTCATCTATAAGTACAAGTCACCACCCCCACCACAACCACCTTCTCTTTACAAATATATATAACCACCACCCCCACCACTCTTCCTGTGCATATGTACAAATCTCTGCCGCCGCCGCCGCCGCCGCCCTGTTGATAATTGTATCTTCTCCTCCACCAAAACAGCACCATGACTACTACCACCACATTACCAAGAGTACCCCGTTTTTGACTACATCTCTCCACCACCTCCAAGGTTGATGTTATCAGATGTTGTTTGTGATATGGGTGTTCAAGTAAGGTTTCTTGTACTATGATGAATTTGTGTCCCTTTTCTCCGGTCCATCTGTTAATGAACGTTACCATGACCTTTTGTTATTATTTCGAAATAAATCATTAGCCTGTGCCTATCAAATTAATGGAATCGGCAATGGTGATGCTTCCAGACTAAACTCTTTCTGGTTGCAGCTGCCATTGTCAAGTTAGTTTGAATGTTTATTAATCTCTTGTAATCAAGTACATCGTAACATATGTTGCAAAAATTTGCCTATTCCACAGGCTTCCTTGTTTCCAAAAATTTCTCCAGAAGAATTTAAAAAAAAATAAAAATAAACGACTAGAATTTAAGACTTGATCTCTTGATCTTGTCACGCCACCTCTAAAAAATAAAAATCGAAATTAAAGGAATTTCCTTTCCTTTCTGTTTATGCTAGTTGTTGAGTCCAAATGAGATTGAGGGCCCCCACCAAATCCATCCACGGCCCATACCAATGGCAAAGGCGGAAGGCAATATTTTTTTAGGATCACTAACAGTGTTTGGATCGAGAGAAGAGGAAGTAAAGAAACAAAAATTAATAGAAATAAAAAAAAAATTGTTTGGATAAATTTTTAATTTAAAAAAAATTAAAAATTCAAGAATCTTTGGTTTTACTTATAATTCTTATTTTTTAGTATCTCAATTTAGAGGAAAAATTAAGAAAAAGAAAGTTGAAAGTTTCTTATTTTTATAAAAAGATTATTATATTTATTTTTTATTAATATTTAAAATTTAATAAAAAAATAACCACATCATAATCATCTTATAATTTTTTCAAAATCATCTCTTTTTTTAAGTAAATTTCATATTTTTTAATAATTTTTTGATGATTTAATTTTAATAAATTATTAAATATAAATAAATATTTTTTAAATTTATGAAATGTCAAACTAACTCACAATCATCTATTAATTCATGTTTATAAAACATTTTTATGTTTCACTTGATTAAAAATTATTAATATAACAGTAATGATAAAATCAAATAAAATAACAAACATATTAAGATCTATAAATATTTTAAAATTACAAGAAATAAAATATTATAATTGAAAAAATTATTAAAATAAATTATTTTTTTTCACTTTTTATTTAAAAAATAATTGTTAAAATTTTATTTATTTATTTATTTTATTAATTTTAATTATTCAAACGAAGAGTACGTAAATTTTTTCTTTTTAATTTTTTTTTATTAAAGGCTAAGAGTAGCATCACACTGCACAGTGCAGAATATAGTACTGATTCAAATGAATAAACGACTTCAGTGCCCGAAAGATCAGTAAAACCAGTTACCAGTTCATCACCAATGGCACTGCCATCATCCAGAGTCATTTTCAACTCTTCACAAGCGCTGGCGGATGTCACCCCTATTGTCAACTTCATAACCTCCCTTCTCCAAACTCTAAACCCACAAACCCCCGACCTCAAAAAACTCGGTTCAGCACCTCTAAACCGCTTCTCACCTTTCCTAGACCCAAACTTACTAGCCGTTTGGAAATTAAGCTTATCGTAATTTCAGTTTAATTCAAATATTAATTTCAATAAAATCAAGTCAATATAAAATTTTAATTAATTTTTTTAATTATAATTATAAAAAATTTTATTACTATTTTTAATTTTATCGCAAAGCAATCAACAAACAAACCAACCCTTGCCATGCTCTCTTCTTCGTCAACTGGCGATCAAATCCAAACCCAAATCCTAAAAATTATACCCACGATAAGGAATGTAATAAAGCCACCACAAATCTCCTCCTTTCCCACTCCTTGAAAAATCTCAAAAGCTCTCAGATTTCTTCGTTAGCAAAATCATCAAGGCCTATGGGGATAAAGGTAATATCAATGCTGCTATCTTCTGTTTTAACAAGGCAAAATACTTTGGGAAAAATAACTGCCTGTTTTCGTTTAATGCAATTCTGGGTGTTTTAGTTAAGACTAATAATATAAATTTCGTCAAGACCTTGTTTGATAATGTTGTGAAGGAGGGTTTTGTTCGTCCTGATGTATCTTCCTATACTATATTGATAAGGGGTTTGTGTAAAATGGGGATGGTTGAGAGTGCAAAAAAGGTGTTTGACGAAATGAGTTAGGAAGCCAAATTTGATTACTTTTAATACTATGATTAACGGGTTTTGTAAGAAGGGTGATATGGGGAGTGCAGGTGTCCTTTTTGTTAAGATGATTGCTGAGGTGGATTGCTTGCCCCGATGCTGTAACTTACACTACGTTGATTGATGGGTATTGCAAAAAAGGAGAATTTGAAGCTGCAATGAAGTATCTGGATAAGATGGTGAAAGGGGGTTACTTGCCTGATGTATTCACCTATAATGCTATTATATATGCTTTGTGTCTCGAAGGGGAAGTTGGTGAGGGAAGGAAGATGATATACCAGATGAGGTTGAATGGAGTGAAGGATAATACTGCAACTCACTTGAGTATATTAAAGGGGCTTTGTGTTATGGGGAGTTCTAAAGAAGCCATTGAATATTTTAGGTGGACGGACAGTTGTAATATGGATTTGGATGCAAAAGCATATATAGTTGTTGTGAATGAGTATTGCAAATTGAGGAAGCATGATGAAGCAATTTTGCTTCTGAAGGGAATGCATGGAAGAGGCATTAATCCGAATTTTTCTAGTTTCAATTCAGTGTTTAGGACTCTCGTGGAGTTAGGGGAGCTTGATAGAGCTGTTTTGCTTCCAAAACAGATGCCACAAATAGGTTGCACGCCAAATTTCTTGTCATATAAAACCGTGATATATGGTCTTTGTAGGGCTGGAGGTAGGATGCAAGGGGTTAAATACCTTCTCGAAGACATGCTTCAAAATGGTATTCTTACTGATGCCAGAATGTACAGTTGCATATTTGAGGGATACAGTGTGGATGGAAATGAAGAAACGGCAGTGCAAGTTTTTAATGAAATGATTGGTAAGAGTTATCTCATCAGTTTGGAGAGTTTCTCAAAATTTGTCAAAATGTTGTGTGCAAAAGGGCTGATTGTTATGGCTGAAAAAATTTTTGAGGACATTTGTAGGACATGCCCATCAGTTGAAAGGGATAGTTATAGAAGAGTCTTAGATAAGCATCTGCAAATAACTCAAGGCTCAAGTAAGGAACATAGAGGAGAAGAGAGTTCTTGAGGGTGGAAAGCATGAAAGGTATGTTCACTTGAGAATTAGAATGCAACTTTGGTTTCTGTTGGGACCTACTCTGTACCTTGTTAGCTGAATTGCAGGCTTTAGCAAACTGCAAAATTGCAAGTATTTCCTGTGAAGCCTTGACCACTTTTGGTGGACATGTAATTAGATTTGATATTCATCCGGTGGGAGCAGTATTTGTATTTCTGACATTGCTGAGATGAACTTGCCTATGTTGGTGACAACCTTTGTACAATCGCTAAAATGTTAAGCAATGAGAGACATGCCTTCAAGCCATAACTTGCTCAATTTGTTTGTCCACCATAGACAAGATGCAGAACCAGCATTAGCCCTTTAACTTGTATTTGGCTGGCATTTCAATTGGTTCACCATTCCACCTTGAGCATTGGCTCAAATGAGATGGAATTTCCCATAAACCCTCTTATCTTGTATTTTTTGGTAATTCCCTCCTACCTAGTTTAATTCTATACCAACAATCAAAGAGCAGAATCCAAATCCAGCCCTTTTTAAATTCTTATGTCGGTGTGCCACAGTCCATTATGATAACCAGACAAACACACAAGTTATGGGCCCACAACCAGCCCTTGGGCCTGTCTTGAATGATGTGTCAAAATCTAAATGGGTTTAAGAGGAAACCATCCCTCGTTGACATTTTCTAGTTTTGGGTTTTGTTTTTTTCTAATTTGTTCGTATGGGCTAAAATACCTGAAAGCCTGGGTCACGGATTCTTCTCTCTATTATCAAATCCGCTTAATTGAAAATCACATTTTCTTTCCAAATTCTCTCACATCTCTGTCTTTCCTTGTTTCTCCCTCCACAACCAGAGAGAGAGAAAGGCTTAAACTAAAACAATTTTTTTTTTCGCAAATCTTTGTTTTCCCTCCTTTTCCTCTCTCTTTCTCTCTGCTTCTCGATCCCCACTCTCCAAAACCGAAAAGAGCTCTATTTGAAACAGAAGGAGGAAAAAGAAAAAAGAAAGAAAAGAATCAGTTTTGGGTTATGGACGGCGGTGCTTCGTACAACCCACGTACAGTCGAAGAAGTCTTTCGAGATTTCAAGGGTCGTCGAGCTGGCATGATTAAAGCCCTTACTACTGGTAATACTTTTCACTCTTTTTTATTTTTATTTTTTAAACTACTCTTTTCTCATACTTGGTTTTCATCTTCTTAACCACCTTTTTTCCTCATCCCTTAAATTTTTTTGTTTAATTACTTTTTGGGTGTGGTGGTGGTTGCAGATGTGGAAGAGTTTTACCAGCAGTGCGATCCAGGTACTGCGTTTTTTTTTTTTTTTTCAATTTTCATGGAGAATTAATTGTTGAGTTTTTATACCCAGCTTTGTTTTGTTGGCGAATGATTTAGCTGGAGAATTGAAGTTACAATTTTTATTTTCAAGGTTTTTTTATATATAAATTAAACTGAAAATTCGAACCAAGTAATTGGAGTAGTTTAAAGTTTAGTATAAATGAAGTGAATTTTAGTGCATGGAATGGTGTTTACTGTTATAGCTTATTATTGTTTAAGTTTATGCCCTGAAGAAAAATTATTCAATTATTGGGCTACCATTTTCTTGTCAAATTGAACTTTCCCTTTTAAAATAAAGTGAGTAGTTTGAGCTAAGAGATCTGTATGTTCAGGTGTGATAGATTTAATAATTTCAACATTATTTTTGTTCTTCCTCCGGTTTTCCATTACAAATGTAGAGTCTTTTTCTTTAAATAACTGTACATTTTTAAAAGTTGGTGTGAAAAAATTCTTTCTTTATTTGGCAATTTTTTGATTGACAGGCAAGTTTAATATTGTGGTCATTATTTGATGCTTATTGGTTTTTTAGAATGCTTTGATTTTGGATAAAAAACATGTTCATTTTAAATTAGATGCAAATCGATGAATGCAAATGCAATAAACTCAGTGTGGTTGCCTTATTCATTTACTCGTTCTACCTTGTTAGGTTCTAGATGCATAAAATTGAATGAGTTAACTAAAATTCTAAACTTTTGATTACAGAAAAGGAGAATCTTTGCCTTTATGGATTCCCCAATGAGCAGTGGGAGGTAAATTTACCTGCTGAAGAGGTGCCTCCAGAGCTTCCGGAGCCTGCACTGGGTATTAACTTTGCCAGAGATGGGATGCAAGAAAAGGACTGGTTATCTTTGGTTGCTGTACACAGTGACGCGTGGTTACTTTCTGTGGCATTCTATTTTGGTGCTAGGTTTGGATTTGATAAAGCTGATAGGTATTTTTCTCCTTGCCCGAGTGTCATCCCCTGATTTGGCGTTACATACACATTGTATTTGTAAATAAGCTAATACATTTTGTAGGTATAAATAAGCTAAGTTACTTGGTAGGCATTCACACCAACCCAACTTGACTTGAGTTCAGCCGAATAATCGGTTTGAGTCTTTTGCAGTTTTTGTGATTTGTTATTTATTAAGATTTTTATACTGCACATTTTACGTTTATCATAAAAATTTTGCATGCTATCTTTTTAACTTAGTTGAAAAACTCTTTTTGTAAAGAGATCCTCTTTTATTGTTAAATTTAGTACATTACTAAAACTTATTTAATTTGGCTAGAATTTGCTACTTGGTTTGGAAGCCCCATTAAGTAATTTGATTTAAATACCTATTTATAAGGTTTTCCTTGTAAATTTATTGGATTGACAAGTTTAATTTCTTTGCAAAAATGCTGAAGCCAGGTGTTAATGTAATTCTGAAGTCTTTCTAGTTGTCATCCAAAGTATGATTGTTCTGATGCTTAATTTAGGCCTCATTTTGAAGAACTTACAGTGTATGGGTAAATAATATATACTAGATTTGCATGAGTGAGCTTGCATACATTGGGATGCTCTGTACTGGATTTGCATGTGACTGTAACAAGCGTGCTATATTTTGAGCTACATATTTTCCAAGATAATACCATGCTGGTTAATGTGATACAGGAAACGCCTTTTCAATATGATAAATGATCTTCCGACAATATTTGAAGTTGTGACAGGAGCAGCTAAGAAACAAACAAAGGAGAAATCTTCAGTTTCAAACCATAGCAGCAACAAATTTAAATCAAACTCTAAGGTATTGAAAATCTTTTATTGCTTAGCTGTTTCATTAAATGTTAATCTGTGTGAAGTTTAGGGTTAAGGTTGGAGCTAAAACATAATATTACATTATTCTCATAATTTGACGAGGGCTTACGGCTTAGTAAAAACTCTAATAGTGGAAGTATAATTCTTTTAGACATAAAGCTGACCAAATTAAGTTGGCATTTTGGGTTGTTACATCAATATTTCTGCAAAGTTCATTCTCCTTGTGCTGATAGCAGAGCCGAAAGAGGGAAATAACTTTACAATTTCAAGGGGACCTTATAAAGTAGATATTCTTTTCCCTTTGTGTTTGAAAAAATGCAGCGAGGTTCTGAATCTCAGCCCAAATATTCAAAGGCAGCAGCATCAAAGGATGAGGATGATGATGGTATGGAAGATGAAGATGACGAGGAGCATGGAGATACATTATGTGGGGCTTGTGGAGAGAATTATGCCTCTGATGAATTCTGGATTTGCTGTGATATCTGTGAGAAATGGTTCCACGGAAAGTGCGTCAAGATAACACCAGCAAGGGCAGAGCATATTAAGCAGTACAAATGCCCATCTTGCAGCAACAAGAGAGCAAGGCCTTGATGATGGCTGGTTGGTGGCTCTTATGTGAACTCTGTTATTGTGGACTGCTAACTGTCTGGTAGATCATGTATTCAAGTTTGTTCTTAGTCAATGTGTCCTTTAATCTATGAAACCTGTCATGGCTTTTATGTGTAGGTCGTGAACTTGCTGTTTAATTTGATTATGAAATAGGATATCTATAATCAGGTTGAGAATCATTTTCTTTCAGTCATTGGAAGGTAGACTTGTTTTATGTTTGAATCTTCTTGTCATCATATGCATGCAACTTCATTTCCTTTTGTATTCTATAAGCTTCAGAGGGGTAATGCTTTATCATTTCAATATTTATTATATATAATAAAAATATATAAAATGAGGAATTTCAAAAGTGCAATTATTAAAGAATATAAACCTTTGATAATTTATTAAATTAACCATCTTATCCTTAATTATTAATTTTTATTTGTTCCCTGTTTAAAATAGAAGTCATCACGTGCTTACCATAAAGGCATAAACTAGTACATGTAAAAAGAAAAACAATGAAGAAAAATAGGAATTGTCTCCTACTACATGGTTTCCTTGTTTGGGGCAGGTGCAAAATGGTGTGGGCAGAATGAGAGACGTTCAGCCCAGCACGGCCTGCTAAGAGATGGGTCTTGGGCCCAGTGGTTTAGCAAGACTCTGTTTTTCCCTAAACAAGAAGAAAAGGAAAGTGTAGTAAAATATTTATGAACAACTAAAACCGGCCATTTAATTTGTCATTTTCATCCTAAGCTTTCCCCCCACCTTTGCTTCTGCACTTGGGTCAATGACAAACAATCGATGAGGAAAGCTTTTGTCCTTTCTCACCATATTTCTCTGTTCAACCAAAGACTATTACCATTTAGCGAAAGGATAATAAGATTAAAGACAATGCCAATGTAATGAAAATACTACTAATATATACTATAAATTGTTTTTTGATTGAGACGCTTTATCCACCATGAAAGGCACATGACTTCCATGTCTGAGCCTTTGTTTGTCAGTATCATTGGACATCGTAACTCCGTCTCCCAAACAGAAAAATACAAAAGAAAAAAGGGTTCTACTGTGTAAATTGTAACTGCAATTCCAGAATAAAATACGGATGAAAAGTGAATACAACGGTGGGTGTTTTGAGTATGTAAAGGCTAAAACTTGGTTTCCTTTTTTTTTTTTTTTGGAGATAATTGAAACTTGGTTTCATTTGCGTGCCATCATCAAGTTTTCTGTGTAGCTCTCAATGTAATAACTGAAACTACAGAAATGAGTTATTAGCCAAAATTACACTTGACTGTTATCCATAAATGCCCTCAATTCCTTTTGCATTTTGTTTTAGATCTCACTCTTTTGCGGGAGAAGTGGTGCTCAAATTGGCTTCAATCTCAGCTGTTTCATTGTCTCTCAGGCAAATGTAGCTGCTGTGGATGAAAATCAGACTGGCCAATAGAGTGGTGGGTTGGCCAGTTGTTTCTGCTTGCCTGGTCCATACACAATCTTAATAATGGCAAATGTTGGATGGTCCATTGTAAATCCATCGGGCAAATGGGTTTTCTCATCAGCCCCTGGTTTTTCATCCCTCTAATTGTGTGACTCAAACTCCCAATTAAAAAAAAAAAAGAAAAGAAAGGAAAAGTTCATCTCCTCTACATAAAGGCCAAAGCTGCCTGCCTCATCATGCTAATCATTTTTCTGTCCGTTGCCGCCAACGATTGCTTCTTTTAGTGCTTTTCATCTATCGATGCAGATGGAAAATTTTGCGTTAAACTATACGATTTTTTGCCCATTTAAGTAGTGAAGAGTTATGTATTATCTACAGGTTTAAGGTAACTAGCTAAAATTTAAAATTTAGATGTAAACTAAAAGAACTCAAATTTAAATTTTTATTATTTTTTATTAATAAATAATTTATAAATTTAAAGAATCTCAAAAAAATATATGAATTTTCTTGTAAATAGACACTTATGCTAACTTTAAAGATAAAGTAAACTCCTTCCTCCTATACCTTTTTTCCCAAAAACAAAAAAGTGATGTACTATGTTTATTCAGTGAAAATACTTTTGCAATGTGTCTGAGAAATGAGAAGGTGGGATTGAACTTTTGTAATGTGCTCCTGTCTCCCCTTTGTCCTCACCCAGTGAGTCCATCATGACTTTACATTAATGCTGTCAGAACGAAACCCTACCGAGAGCACCCAGATATATATATATATATATTGTTGTTACAAAAAGAAAAATGTCAGCACACAAAATTTGAAGTCAACACAAATTCATTAAACACCACTTAGATATGATAGATTGATAGGAGTACTGATAATTACTTTAATGCACTTCCAGGATAAGTGAAGGAGGCGAAAGTTTTTCCTACGAATCTATGGTCTGGATCGATGAGTGATAACAGAGTTTAAAATATGAAAGGGAAAGAGTTCAGGTACGTGCGTACCCAAAAGGCCAAAAAAAAAAAAAAAAAAAAGGTGAGGCACACGAGAGACAGTGAAAAATGGACTAGAAAAATGTTGGGGATAGTTTGAACTTTTAGCCATTATTTAAACCCATGCGTGTTATTCAGTGACGAGGCATGTGATTTTCCTGTTACTTTCAAAGATGACTTGTTCAGAGGCAGATTTAAAATTTTTCTAAAATGTTCGTTCATATTATATATAAAAAATTAATAAATTTATTAGTTTTATTAACGACAAATAAATTTAAAAGTGTTTAAAAGAATTTCTAAATCAATTTTTAAAAGTGTTAAGAGCACCTTATTTCAGCATATAAATCCTCGTCTGGCCCAGCTGAGAATGCCTTGGCAGTAATTTGTTTTACATATTTTCACCTGTAGCTCTCTTATGCAGAGTGCAGGTTATTTATTGTTTGCATACAAAAACAAGTTCACTGCCCAATCTTTGGATGATTTACTTCGTTTTTTAGTCTAAAATACGTTATATGACCCAAAGTGGGAAGCTTTAAGTATTACCTTTTTCTATCCAAATTTTGTCTATCTTTTCAAGTTTTCTAGTGAACAAAGCCTATTCACCTTTTCTCGATGTGTAGTCCCATTTATATGCTTCGTAAATGGAAATAGAATAACAAGGCTAAAAGGCAAGAAGGCATAGATAGAACTTCTTACATCGACTAATCCCCTAAACGTCACAATGAATTTAGGGATGTTAATACTTAAGTTATAAATAAAACAAAATATTTTTCCTTCACATCTTTGAATTTTTATATTATATTCATATTTAATAAATATTTTAAATTAAAAAATTATTTAATACATTTATAATAAAATTTTTTGATTTTACAAACGAAATTAAAACGGGAACATATATCTTTTATATATTTTAAAAAATTAATTTAAAAAAATAAATGAAACATGTGTTATTATTTTAATTTCGCTTGTGAAATTAAAAAATTTTACTATCAATATATCAAATAATTTTTTATTTAAATTTACCTTAATCTACATCTTTTTGGATATTTAATAGATATAAATAATTCTTGTACCTATAACTTAAAAAAAATAAATACCAAGATTTATTTTTTATCTTATATATTATTTTTTTATCTTTTTTATTTTTATCTTATATATTTAAGTAATTTTTTATAAATAGATATATTAATATATATTGTTTCAATAAAAATATATTAATTCTAATTAATTTAAAATAATAATTTATATTATTTAATAAAAAATTTATTTACTAAATATATATAAATATATATGTCAAATACAAATAAGAGAAGAATGTTTTATTATCTATCTTCATCTTCCTATCTAATAAAAATTTAAAATTATATCTATTTGCATCCATATATCCATAATATAATACCCATTTCTATCTCTATTATCTCCATCCCTATTCAAATAAAATGTCGGCACCCTATTAGATAAGAATAAGATTGATATTCCTAAATGAGTTCATATCACATTGAAATACATTAACATGGTTTGCAAAGTAAAACACTTTGGTCCGAAAATATATTTGCTTAAGCAAGAAATGGACATAAGTCACCCATCTTTCAATGATAAGAGATGACTCAAAACGCATTAAGAGGTGCTACAAAGTCAATTCATAGCACAAGCATTCATTCAAAGAATATGTATTCTTTTTCAATCATCAAAAGAATTTATCCAAAGACTTCTACTCTGTCATGACTGAGATTGCAAAGTTCAAGGGGATTAAAAGAAAAATCAAACCAAACTTTGGAGTAGTAAAGGATTGAATTATGACAGATTGAGAACACGGAAGATACATTATTACAGAGTGACCAAGATGAAGAAATGCTTCATACACCTTTTACATTGACACGCAGGTGATCCTCATCATTAAAAGGCCAAAACAAGAAAAGAAACGTTTACAATGAGTAACCCCTCTTACTAAGCAGGCCGATTAAAGCCAACAGGGAATAAGGTAACAAAAAGCATCTCAAGTGTGAGAAACATTCTGTTTTTCGGTCACCCGCCCTATTCACGATGTCAAGCTCTCTTTGCTCTTAGTTGATAACCGTTTCAAGAGCTCATAGGTAGTGACCATGGTTGTTGCAGACATAGACATTGATGCCCACCTTGGTCCCAATCCCCTGTAACAAGCTGTGAATCCGCCTTCTTTAACCAAATTCCGCATTGTCTGCAAAACCGTCAAAGGTTTTCTTATCCCATTCTCTTCTCTATCCAGAACCTGTAATCTAGTCTTGATGGTGTCAAGTGGCATAGTGATTAAAGCTGAAACGCCACTAGCCATGGCTGCACTTAACCCTTGGACTAACACCAAGGTCTTTGAATCAGGCCTAAAACCAGATCCCCCAATCACACCACCCTCATCCTTTTTACTCATAGAGCAACCAAAACTACCCCATATGAGCTTGTGTGCGACAGAGTAAGAAGCCCACCAAACCGCATTAGATGGTGCATATGTCAATATTGAGATCCCAAATCCCCTATAAAATCCTTTAGGGCCATCTGCATACAGAATTTTCCTAAACGCATCAAGACCATTTCTATATCTACAAGAATTCACATTTGGATTTACATTTTTGCTACTATTACTATTGTTGTAGCCTTGAACCATAAGTCTTTGGCTCACAACATCAATTGGGGTCCAAACAAGTTGTGCAGCCATAGCTGAACTCAAGCCAGCAGCAGCACTAGCTATAGCAGTTGCTGTAGTATCTGAAAATCCTAAACTAACAGTTGCAGTGCCAACACTGCTCTTGGTAACCTCAAGGGCTCCCATGTAAAGGGCTCGAGCTGGGATTGTCCCCATCAAAGAGGTACCAAAACCCCTATAGAATCCTCTCAATCCTTCATATCTCATAATAGAGGAAGACATTTTAAAGCAAGAAATTTGAGAAGATGAAACTTGTTGCCTAGTTTTCAAGACAACTATAGGGTAAAGAGCAGCTGATAAACCTGAAAATAAAGCAGCACCAAATAAAAAGAACTTGGATTTGTCAAGCATATGCCAATCTATATCTGCCGGTATATGAATCTCCGACCCTGAATCATCCTCGGCTGCACTTAAACTCATTTTCGCCACTTCTGTAAACTGTTTTAGTTCAACTAACTACAATCTGTTTTTTGTTATCCTTTCAACAAAATTAATCAGCACCCACCTCAAATCCTATTCAAAACTCTATATAAACCAACTCCGCTCAAGTAAAATAAAACTCCAGCTATTTGCGTTTTCCATACAATTAAAGCTACAAATTCGCATGAGTGGAGAAGATGATCAAAAGGCAAAGAAAATTAAAAATTTATGAGGGTTTTTAGTCTTTTAAGTATTTGGACTGTACAAAATCAGGAAGTCTATGCAGAAAAGGAAAGGAAAAATGAAGACTTTTTTGTTAGTATTAGGTATAAAACCTAAAAAAAAAAAAGGTTTCGCGGGTTTTTCCTTTTGCGCAGTCAAATTTGTGAGCGAACGTGGATCATCAGAAATAAGTCGAACATTTACTCACTATGCAAAAACCCCATATTTTTATTTTTGATTCTTACCAGAAAAAAACCAAGTCTTTGCAACATCTTCAAGGCTTCATCTTTTGTCAGTAGGCAACTGGGTAATAATAAAGAGAGATAGAGTCAAAGAATCTTAAACAAGGGCAAAAAGAAATGGGTTTTAGGAGGGTTTCACAGAAAGCGAAATGGATTGTGTTAATAAGAAGGAAGTGGAAAGAGAGAAGTGAGGGAGAGTGAAAAAGAGAGATTTAACGTTAGAGAGGAAAGAAGACAAGGTTATGGATTTTAGCAAAGGGTTTTGCGGAACTATCGGTTAGCCTGGTTTCAAGGTTCAGTTGGTTCAAGCAGCTGGACTGTTGCTACCCTCTGATTTCCAACTTATCTGTGGGTGATCTCTTCAGTTCATCATTTGCATCTCTAAACTGTCCTTCCATCGACATGAATTCTTGAAAACAGCACAGCTACACCTAACATCCATGGGTTGGGCTGCTTTTTTTATTTTGGGTCATCCTTTTTGTCAAGAGCTATACCCATTACTAGTTCTGAGTTCACTCGTCGTATATTTTCACAAGTGATAAAAGAGAGATAAATTTTATCTCATATTTTTATATTATTGAATAAATTCAAAAATAAAATTTAAAAATTTATGAATAAATTAATTAATTCATAAATAAGATCTGGAATAAAATGTTTGTATTTTGGATTATAAAAGTAAGGATAAAAAAAAATTAGTTACTCTTTGAGGAATAAGATCAAAATAAGGTGAAAGTAATGAAAAATTATATCTAATGAAATGAAATTCGGTTGAAGAAGTGGTTGTTCTGTAATTCTTTTTTATTTTAGATCAATTAATTATTTTTCTTTAAATTTGTGAATTCATTTTAATTGTATTAAAAGAAAATTGTTTTGATTGATTTGAGATAAGAATGAAGTATTATTTTGATTGTAAAAATATTGGTGCGGATGCAAGAGGGATTTTATATTGAAATGGTATGAAAAAATATTTTGAAGGTGAAGTTGAAAGATTGTATAATTATGTCATATCAAAAGTATAAATATTTGAAATAAAATTAATGAGATAAATAATAATTTTTTTAATTAAATGGAACAAACATCTGAATGTGTAAACTATGCAAATTATTTAAATCATTTTTCAAGTTTTTAAGTTATAATTATAATACCTGACAAGTTATTGATAAATTCTTATTAGTTCAATTTGTAAAAACATAAAAGACCAGCAACGCTGCACCCTACCACTCAAACGTGTGTGCATATATGAGAGAGACAAACTGTGGAACAGATCAAACAATGCACCATATCCTAGTCATCTTCAATTTATCTGTATTCACATTTGTGTAAATATTATTTCCTATGAGAGCTGAAAGAGCTGTCCCACTATATTGCCATGCTAAGCTCACTCCTTTTCATAAGAACCCGTACCCTGTTTCTTTTACCCCTTTCTTCGCAGAGACAAGACGTATGGGATGCCTGAAAGGTTTCTTTCAATTGTCTTCTTGTATGTGGTGTAGTGCATGACCTTATCGATTCTCATTGCTGAAGGAGGTTTAAGCTATACATATATGTAACATTGATGTGATAGACACCTTAGGCACCATTTGATTGTCCACTGCAATTCTGCAAGTCTTCTTGTTTAGCCTTTCAAGTTTCTATTAAACCTGGAATATGAATAACTCATTATTTTTGGCATTTTGATTCCCCAAAAACTGCTATATAAGTGTTTCTATACATTGAACTGTGAGCTGTGGTAGCAATCCATTTAGCTGTAAGATAAAAACTGAGCAATCATACTTGTGTTATTAAGTCAGTGCTTCTATTTCGCCTTGTGAGAAGAAATCAATTCCGCCTAGTTGGAATTTTTTTCTTACGTCAGAATTGTTCAGTTTGAATTATTGATATGTTGATGTCATTAGTCAATTTAAATACCAACCAATGAGAATATTTTACTTGACAATTCAATAAAATTTGGCCGCCTGCCCCATGAAAGCATGTGTTTAGGACAATAATTGTGATAAAAAATCGTTTTATGAGCAAAGATTCAACAAAGTTAGAGTGTTGGAGTTGTCTACCATTATAATATTGGACTTAAGAGATAATCCCTTCACTGTAGACTCCCCAATGGCATGTTTCTTACAATATAAGCACTATTTTTATAAACTTATACAACGGTTTTGCGGACATCAACAAGAAACTATCAAACAAAATTGGACTTAAAAACTCTCTCATCTTATAAATATTTAACCAACGCCAGCCGCCAGGACTACTTGTCCCGTCTTCTGCACCTTTTGCCTGATCATCCATCCGACAACAAAAAATGGCAAGAATGTTGGAAAGCAAGCTTTACGAAGCAGCAGAAGAAGGGAGTGTAACTAGTTTCTTAGAGTTAAATTCAACAGGATCGCTTGCTTCTGGACGGAGTGCTCGTTAATTATACCACTAAGACTCCTTTGCATGTAGCTGCAATGCTTGGACCTACAGATTTTGTGAAGGAGATTATACATAGAAAGCCAGAGTTTACCAAAGAATCCGATTCAAGGGGTTCATCAGCTCTTCACTTAGCTTCGGCAAAAGGGTATGTTAAAATAGTCAAAGCATTGCTATTTGTTAACCTTGACATGTGTCTGGCTCGTGACATAGAAGAAAGAAACCCTCTTCCTCTTGCGGCCATAAAGGGCCAGGTTGACGTTTTAAAGGAGCTAGTCCGTGCCAGACCACAAGCAGCTTAGGTCACCGTGTCTTGGGGAGAGACCATATTGCATTTGTGCGTGAAGTACGGACAATTTGAGTCTCTGAAGCTAGTGATTGAAGTAATGGATGACCATGAAATTGTGAATGCTAAAGACGATTATGGAATGACGGTCTTGCATCTAGCGGTTGCTTACAAACAAATTGAGGAATGGATTGGATCAAACTGCATATCATCTCCAAGCCTTGTTGCCTTTTATTATTTTTCCCCTTTCATTTGGTTTAGCCAATTACATTTAATCTATAAACTAATCAATTGCCTATGTAGCTATTAAGAATGCAGAGGAATTTAGGCTTCTTTCTGTTTTACTGGTGCTGTAACTAATCATTTAGTAATGATAACAAATGTGCAGACAATAAAATTTTCGCTTTTCAATACAAGCGTTGAAGTGAATGGTCTAAATGCAAATGGTTTTACTGCTTTGGACGTTCTTGATCATAGTAAGAGAGGCTTGAAAGACTTTGACATAGCTGAGTCCTTACGAGATGCTGGAGCACTAAGAGCCGCAGATATTTCACATTCAGGAACTAGAATAGGAGGATTGAAAACAAAGGCAAAACCTCTAATTGCTCAAATTATTTCAACCAACGCACCAGCCACAGGATATCACAACGTGCAAAAAACTATCAATAAGGCAGATTGGCTTGCTAGAAAGCGAGATGCATCGATGGTAGTGGCATCACTAATTGCAACAATCAAGGACGGATCTATGTAGAAGTGTCACGAGTCGAGATTTAAGCTTCGAACTCGCACGATTTTGAGATCCGGACATCCACTCATCCAGCGTCCCAGATTAACTTAACTGCTACGGTTCACACCCTTGTGAGATATTGTCCGCTCTGACCCCCTTAACATCACGATTTTATCTTATAAAAAACACCTCACAAGAAAGAGGTGGTGTGAACCTTTTTATACCCCAGTGAGCCTCCTGTTATGTTCGATGTGGGATTCATGACTCATCCTTAGGTCCGTGACATTCTCCTGCACTCAAACTCGTGACGCTCTTATCACGAAAGCTGACCACCCTGCTTACCTTCCTCGAGGCGCTTGGCATGGATCGAACGGTTTAGGGCTAGCTTTGATACCACTTGTCACGAGTCGAAACTTAAGCTTCAAACCTGCGTGACTCTAGAACCCGAGTATCCACTCATCCGACATCCTTGTGACGCTCTTATCACAGAAGATGGTCACCCTGCCTACTTCCCTCGAGGTGCTTGGCGTGGATCAAACGGTTTAGGGCTAGCTTTGATACCACTTGTCACGGGTCGAAACTTAAGCTTCGAACTTGCGCGACTCTAGAATCCGAGCATCCACTCATCCGACATCTCAGATCAGCCTAACTGTCACGATTCACACCCTTGTGAGGTATTGTCCGTCTGGTCCTCATGACCTCACGATTTTGTCCTACAAAAAGCGTCTTACAATGAAGAGGTGGTGTGAACCTTTTTATACCCTAGTGACCCTCTTATTATGTTCGATGTGAGATTCAAGACTCTTCCTTAAATTCATGACAGAAGCATGTGGGGCAGTCGTCCCCACTGAGTTCATAAAATCTTTTGGGTTTATTATAAAAACTAGCAAAAGTTTTCAAAATTTAAAATTTTATGCTTATAGAAAATCTTTGTGATCATATTTGCCCCCCACTAAGTTAAGGGTCATACATGAAATTTTTCATTATTTATCTAATAATTGAACATTAACACTTTGAGTGCTACTCAATATCATTATAATATATATATATATATTTATATAATTTTCAAGTTTGTAAAAAATAAAATAAAATACTTTTAGAGAGTTTGAAATTGTTAACTTTTTAATTTCTTATAATGATTTGTTTAGATTGATACAAGTTGATCTTATAGGGATAATGAGATATGAAGCTTGCATAAAATAAATAATCATTTTCATTCATCTTTTCATTGTATGTGAGAAAAGAATAAATTTTTATTTTTCAAATTATAATAAATAAAAATCAAATATATTTGTTTATTAAAAGTAAATGATAAAACTAAATATAGTAAAAGTAAATAATAAGACATGTTAATTTTTATTTCATTTTTTCACATAGTATATTTATTTTTAAAAATTTTGTAAGTAAAATTTTATTAAATTAATATATCTATATATATGTGTGTGCGTGTCTATTATCATAAATAATTTATCTAAATAGTGTTTAGGTTATATTCATTAAAAATCATATAATTAATTATGCAAATATTATTTATATTGCAAAACAATTTTTTTCATTTATAAAAAATATTATAAATGCTAATTTTATTTGTAATTTTTAAAATTAAGTTATATTTCAATAAAAAAATTTTAAATTAATTTAAAATATTTGCCCCCACATATATAATGCTGGCTCCGCTGGCAACAGTGGCTTTGCAAGCTGGATTAACCCCTCCTGGTGGTCTCTGGCAAGATTACTCGACAGGAACTTCCCAAGACAACAATGGAACAGAATCTCACATGGCAGGAACTTCAATAATAGCAGATAAGAACCATAGCTATTACACTCAGTACCTTTCTTACAACACAATAAGTTTCATTGCATCATTAAGCATAATCTTGTTGCTGATTTCTGGGTTACCTTTCAAGCGAAGACTTTTCATGTGGATGTTAACAGTGATTGTGTGGATTGCAATCACATCCATGGCCATTACATACAGAGTTTCACTTCTTGTTTTTACCCCAAAAAAGGAGCAGCTAAACGTCACTCGCGTGCTTGAATATGCTCTCAAGGTGTGGATTAGGGTGATGACTCTTCTTCTGGGGCAAACCATTCGCCTCTCGGCAAGTTTTGTCCGAGAGAGTTGAAAATGTGCTGGGGAAAAAGAGAAAACCACCGCCACCGTTAGTGTACCGACCATTCCCGCTTGCGATCAATGCTGAATTCTAATCCTCTTATCAATTAGTAGTACGTCTCTATTAATGTAATTGGAAGATGAGCAGAAGGAATTGGCTTCTCGAGCAATAGAGCAATCCCAGTCCAACTGAATAAGTTGCTTGCAATCCTGAATGACTTGGTATAGAGGATCATTATCCTGAATCAGCCGCAAAATTTTCTGTAGAGCCAATAAGGAGACCCTAATTCCACTAGGACTCGTCGGCATCCATGCGCACAAACCAGATTTAAACCAGTAGAGATGGCATAAATATCAGCCTTGGTAACAGAACCCCATCCACTTCTTGTAAAACCAAAAACCCAAGAACCATCACTGTCCCTGCAACGACCGCCCAAATCTAAATCACCAGGATTAGATGTAGCAGCTGCATCCACCTTCAGTTTGACCATGTTTTGAGGTAATTTTATTAGATTTTCGAGGCGTTTGAGTTGTATATATTCCGTACATGTTGTTTGAAAACCATTTAACTAGATAGTTTGCTGAAAGACAAATAATGTGATTATAATCAGAATTTTTTTTGTTTAATTCTCTCCTTCATTTCAATCCTGACATTACCTTATAAACAACCTGCAGTTTCTTTTGGTATTAAAGTCAAGGTTACAGATTTGAGTTTTAATAGTATTGTTAGAAGGGAGATTGGTGGCAGATCAAAGGTTAGTCACGTCTATTAACTTCATATGCTTTATAATCGATCGTTATTCTTTGTACTATAAAGTTGTAAGCTTTTTAATAAACATAATTTTATTTATGCTTATTTTTTTCTTTTATAATGTTGTTAATTTTTTTAAATAATATGAGTATCTGTATCCTACATTACATGATATAATGAAACACGTTGATATCAATTTATTTTCTGATTATAGTCAGTATCTTTTTGTATTGCTCTCAATCACAAATTAAAGAATGTGTGAATAAATAATGATATATATAGAGATCGAAAACTAAATCTGCGAGGCGTCTTGTGAGATAAAATCATGAGACATTCGGGTTAAAGCAAACAATACTTCTCAGGTTTGGTGCAGTCTTTACAAATGATATTAGAGCGATCACCAGTAAGTGAAAACTAAATGCTACATTATGAGAGTCACTAAGTGGTATACGATGAAAAAACACATTTAGAATTCTAACGTCTGATATGATCTTAGTCCTGTGGTTAGACTCGGTTTGCCAGGGACATCAAGGTTTAAAAATGAAAAATATTGTAACACCCAAAATCCTACATTAGAATAATGTATGGATAAAGAATGATATATATATATATATAGATCTAAAACTCAAATTTATGAGACTCTTTTTTTGATAAAACTCTGAGACCTTTGGATCAAAATGGATAATACCTTTCAAGTTGGGTGTGGGTCTCCACACTTTTTGCCTAACTTATTCTAATTTTCATCTTTCGTATTTGCTAGTTTGGTCGAATCATCCAATACCAACTTATACAAATCTTTACAGTGTAAGTAATATTCTATCATAAGCTTCTAAATTGAATAATTTGATACCGTCAATTTTATCATTAACCTATATCACCTTCAATGATCTGAAATAGAATTTACTTTTATCTTAGTTTGCTTCTGTGTTGATATCTCAAAATAACTATCATTTTAATACCACTTGTTGAGTCTGAAGTAACAAACACAATAACAAAAATAATGTTGGGTCTGAAGTAATAAATACAATAACATAAAAATAATATATCGTAATAAATCTACAATAATTAATAACAATCAACAATGCAATAAAAATAAAAGTATACCTAAATTTATATGAAAAACCCTCCAATGTAAAGAAAAAAATTACAAACCACAAAAAAAATTTCACTATCAAATAATATATATTCAAAGTTTTCCTCTAACTAAAATTAGAATTAATCAATAATTAAAGATAATTAAAAAATTCTCATAAAATAAATGATTCAACAAATACACTCTAAATTTATTTTTAAAGAGTTTCAAACCTAATCATTGTCTAAAATATAAAATTTTGAATCATAAATCTATTAATAAAATTTTAATTCAATCGAACTATAAATCGACTTTCGTTCAATCAAAAAAATTTTTTTTTGGATTTTTCTTTTTCTTTTTTCGGCGTTACCACACTTGTTCCACAAAAAACGCAGCCCCCTCTTTTTTATTATTTAGGGCTTTGTTTTCACATTAAGTTGAAAAGCCCATGGCCTATGGGCTGGAACCCACATTGCTAACGCTAGATACTCTTGACGTGATTGAAAACTTCTTCTCGCTATAACTTTATTAATCTGAAATTATATGATCATCAATTTTGGAGGGTGTTTGAAATGGGGTTCTTTTTCCATTACCCATAAACTGTATATCCCTGTTCAAATCCAAGATAATTAGTCTTATTCCTTTCCTATTGAACCAATTAGTTGAATTTTTCAGGAGTCAATCGACCATATATTGATCCACAAGCAAAAACCTGATTCTAGAACGAGAAAAAATAAGCTAGTAGGAAAGGCTAACTACCATCCTTGCAACAGATCCATCGAGAAATGTCAAAGGAGTAGGAACTTTTCTATTGTCTTGAATTCCTTGGTGAAAGATGAAGGGGACAGAGATTTGGGGAAAACGGATTCGAAGTTTTCAGCTGGCAATCCTTGTTTTCTTAGATGATATAAACATTATCATAGTTCTCGTCGAATTGAAGCTTTTTCTACTTTTTCGGGTTGGCTAAATTTCTCAAATATTTCCGAGGTGTGGTGTTTTCCCGTTTAGTTCTTGACTGTCAATGCTTCTAGAAGTGGACGGAAACCATAACATATATATTATTGAAAATTTCATTAGATTAAACATAGTAAATTTCATTATTGAATATGTATTAGATTATGAAATTATATAGTACTAATTTTACTTTGGACCCCGTTATATAACCTATATATTATTCATTCATACTTTTAGAATTAAAAAAATAGTTATTTTAAAAATGATGAGCAGCTATAATAAAAATCAATATTACATGATTATTGAAAAGATCAAATTTTATTCATTCGAAAAAAAAAAAAGAAAAACAGTCCTTTTCAACTTTTATTTTATAAATTAAATTTTGATAATTCTATTCTATGTATTTTAAAATTGAAGATAAGATGAAAGAGTTGGGACGTCTTTTTTTTTTTCCATTTTTAAGAGGAAAAATATGACTATATGTCTATATTAATATTTCGTTAGAGCATTGGAACTCAAATCTTTCAAAGTCAAAGATGAAGGCTGCAGCAAGGATTATAAAAAGAAAAAATATAGTTTGGCAAAATCCTTTCCTTGGTAATATCAATTCAAAGCTCACAAGTCAATGTCGCTTGTCCCACCATTGGCCGCACTGTTTCTCATTTGTAAGCCCAGAACAAGAAAAATAAACGATCTGCACAGGTTTTTTTTTTTTGCGTCGCAATTTGATAGAAAAAATGAAACTAATGAGCTTGTTGGATGAGGAGAAAGAAGAAGAAAACCTAAGAGAGATAGCAAGACAGAAAAGGCTCAACGAAGCAGCCATGAAAGGATCAGTTACCTCACTCCTTGAGCTGCTCCAAGAAGACCCTGATATCCTCAAAAAAGCCACCTCATCTCTTTCGGACACACCTTTACACATAGCAGTTCTTCTTGGTCACTCCGCTTTTGCCAAACAACTATTGACTCAAAAGCCAGAGCTTGCAACAGAATTAAACATCCATGGTTATTCACCTCTTCACGTGGCAGCAACAAAAGGGTGCGTGGAAATAGTGAAAGAATTGTTGTTGGTGAACCCTGACATGTGTTTGGCCAAGGATCGTGATGGTAAGACTCCCCTGCATCTTGGTGCGATCAAGGGTCGAGTTGAGGTATTAAACGAGTTGATCCAAGTCAGACCGGAGGCGACTCGGGCGTTGACCGGTGGAGGAGAGAGTGGACTCCACTTAGCTGTGAAGAACAATCGTTTAGGAGCATTGAAGGTTTTGGTAGAATCTGTGAGAAAAGATGACCAGTTTGTGAATTGGAGAGATTCTGAAGGGAACTCTGTCCTGCATATAGCTGTGGCCAGGAAACAGTTAGAGGTATGCTTTGCCTACTTGTTTTTTCTTGCAAGAACACTGTGATAAAATAAGGTAACAACTTCACTCCAAATTGACTAAACATGTGGAAATTTAATAGGACAAATTAACCCTAAATCCGGCGAACTTAAGGAATAACTAGGAAGTCTGGAAAGTCTATGATGAATCTCTAATATGTAAGAACTACGAAATTTTGCAGATGATAAAATATTTACTCACTGATACCAAGATAGAAGTAAATGCTCGAAATGCAAATGGCTTCACCGCCCTGGATCTTTTATTACATAGTCAAAGGGATTTAAGAGATATGGAAATTAAAGATTGCCTACAGAAAGCTGGAGCTTCAAGAATGATAAGTAAGGCTCAGTCCATTGCCAATAATCAGGATATTGTCGAAGTTGTGCCCCCAATACAGGTACAGCCACTAATTCTTAAGGAAACTGATTCCAAGCCGGTGGTTGAGAAACGTAAGCATACTGATTGGTTGGGAAGAAAACGAAGTGCATTAATGGTTGTAGCATCGTTGCTTGCAACTGTGGCCTTTCAAGCTTCATTATCGCCACCTGGTGGTGTATGGCAAGATGATTACTCGGTTGATTCTGATGGCAACCCTGCAGAGAATCCACACAAAGCAGGCTTGTCTGTAATGGCCTATACTGATCCAAGACAATATGAGGCGTTCATGATAATGAACACAATCGCTTTCCTTGCATCATTGAGCGTAATTTTGTTACTCATCAGTGGACTACCTATGAAACGACGCAGGTTCATGTGGATTCAGATGGTGATTATGTGGCTAGCAATCGCAGCGTTTACTTCTACCTATTTTGTTGCATTGATAGAAATAACACCAAGACAAGTGAGAACTATGCTGTTTCATGTGACCAGAATTTCACTAATAATATGGCTGGGGATGATGGGACTCGTTTTTGTAGGTAATGTCATTCGGATGATCTTATGGTTGCTTAGAAAGTACGGTTACATCAAGCAAAAGGAGGAAGAGTATTCACTTTATGTAGAGGATGAAGAGAATGATGAGTGATGACCAGTGAGAAAAAAATGAAAGTAATTTGGGAGGTTTGCTTAAATTAAACACCATCAAATCTTCATTTGCAATTGAAAATCCAAGTGGAAAGATGATTCAATCAGCATTTAAGATTATCTCTGATGTAATAATAGAATTTCACTGGTGTAATTTTTGCTGTCATGTTTTGTCAACATTATTATTATCAGGGGCCTTTTTTTTTTTTGGTATCATAAATGTGTAATTCAAAAGATCAAAGCCTAAACCATCTAGCTTTTGCTTGTTCATTCTCAAAAGTACGGTGGAAAAGATTTTTGTTTTCACAGATATTGAGCCATAGATTCTGCGGGTCAGACTCAGAACTCTGAATAGATAATTGGGTGATTTAAGAATTTTTCAAGTTACACAAATGGTTTCTGCTAATACAGTTTGGTATATGGTTTAGGATGATTCAATTAACAATAAGAAACTGGTAATTCATATCCAACTGAAACGAGTAGCCTAATAACTATGTGTTTTTCTTTTTGGGGGATAAATGTGGGGTTTAAGGTTAGGAGGCAACCTGTTAGTGTCACATGAAGCGTTTAAAGGGAGAATAAACATAGAACATAAAAGAGTAATTATTGAAGTATAAAAATGTTTGACATTACACGTATTGAAAAATCGATTTTAAAATAAAAAGATAATAATTACTTGATAAATAATATCAGAATAAATTTTTAATCATTTAACTCGCTACAAATGCTTCAATGAGAGATAAATAGGATGATCAGACGTTATGAAATTAGATGAGAGAAAATATCACGTCAAACCTTTTAAAATAAAATAAACAAGATATTCTAATCTTAGACATGAAATGAGAGTTATTGAAATATAAAAATGTTGATAGTGTATATTCTAATAAATCAATTTTGAAGAGAGAGGATAACTACCACGTGCGACTAGAACAAGGAACGGAACCTCAAGAGCAGGAAATGCAAAGCAAAAAACAAACTAAACTGACCTAAGTAAATTAACAATCAACATCCCACTCACCAATTGTGACAGGAAACAACATTAACAGGATCATTTTGAAACATGTTAATAGCTTGAGACCACCCAACCTGTCTTGCAAAAATGGCAGCAATGCTTCTCTAATTATCTCATGTAGTAGTAAGCACCCTCCGATTGAGTCTGTTTGTCCTTTCTCTCCAGGTGAAGTAAAATAGAAAGGAAAAACAGAGAACTGAAACGCCTCTTTGCCGCAATTTGATCATGACGGACGGGATGGGATGGACCATAGGCTGGTCAAGCTTGGCCCAACAAAAAATTGGGCTCTTTTAGCAACAACAGCAAAGATCCAAAGCCTATTATCTTGCCAGGCAAAACGGGCCCCGGAATTATTGATAATGACCCAAAATAAGGATTAAAAAATAAAAGAAAATTACAGAACTTTCATTTGTTTCTTCAGAATTCTAGATAGCGCATTAAGGAGACCAATTACGAAATTTTCTATCTGCATTGATTAATCTCTAGAACTCTCGCCTCTCCTGCTTGTCTCCTATATATACAAATCAGCTCTGCACCTTTCGAATCACTTTCAAATCAACTTAAAACTTACTGCGTTACACATCTAAGCCTCTTCCTACATCCCTTCTTTGATTTTTGTTTTCTTCTTCTACATTTCTAGAGCTTGAATCATGGATTTGAGGAACTTTAGCTTCGATTCTCCACTTTTAACGATCCTGGAAAACATGCTTGACATCCCAGAGGAGCAGGAGAAGTCCCGAAACAACCCATCTAGGGCCTACGTTAGAGATGCACAGGCCATGGCAGCTACACCAGCGGACGTGATACAGTACCCAACATCCTACGTATTCATTGTCGACATGCCTGGCATTAGTTACTGTCGTAACGTCTAGATCCGGGGATCTATCGCTAGACATTGACTTTAGGGAGTCGCCACCAATCTTTTTTGTCTAGGTGCGATTGGCCACCTAAAGAATCTGTCCTTCCAGGGAACACCTAAGTTTAAGGGTCCCTAGAAGAATAGGTTCAGGTCTGTTGACCAGAACATGGTTCGGGAGTTTGGTTACGTGTGAGGAAGGTTATAGCACCCTCACAACGCCCATCAAAAGATGGTACCAGCTTGAATTTGTGTTATCCAAAAGCCTTAAAATTTTACCAAGTAGTTAGTTGTTGAAAATTATTCTCAATTGACTCTAATACTTTTAGCAGAAAATTGAGAAAATTCCCTCACCTCAAGAGTATGCAAGAAAAACTACTGTTTCACTTACAGAGGCTCCGTCGTCGGATTATTTAAAGAAAGAGAAAAAAAAAAAACAAAATCAAAATTAAGATAGAAAGGAATGAAAGAATGATTTTTTTTTGTAGGGAAAATTGATACTTTCAACTTTTCCCTAAAAATATTTTTTGAAAATTTCGATTTTCAAGGAAAATTGATACTTTCAACTTTTCCTCAAAAACCCCCTTTTTTTTTGAAAATTTATTTCTAAGGAAAATTGATACTTTCAACTTTTCCCCAAAAATATTTTTTTTTGAAAATTTCGATTTTCAAGGAAAATTGATACTTTCAACTTTTTCTCAAAAACCCTTTTTTTGAAAATTTATTTCTAAGGAAAATTGATACTTTCAACTTTTCCCCAAAAATAGTTTTTGGAATTTTATTTCTAAGGAAAATTGATACTTTCAACTTTTCCCTAAAAATGTTTTTTTTTTAAATTTATTTCTGAGAAAAATTGATACTTTCAACTTTTCCCCAAAAATATTTTTTAGAAATTTATTTCTAAGGAAAATTGATACTTTCAACTTTTCCCTAAAAATATATTTTTTTGGAATTTTTTTATTTTTATTTAAAGAAAATAAAATAATAAAAAATAAATAAAAAGAATATTACATAAACCTAATCTAATAAATAAAAAATAAAATAAACAAATAAACAAAGAAAGAAAAAAAATTAAAAGAAAAAAAAAAAAAAAAAACCTGGAGCGGCTCGGATCGCGGCTCGGCTCGGCTCGGCTCAAGGCAGGAAAACGGCTCGGGGGGGAGCGGCTTGGCGGCTTGGCTCGGCTCGGCTCGGAGGGGCTGGCACGCGCGGGTCAGAAAGCGGGTCGACGCCCGGGTCGGGTCGGGTTGCGGCAAAACGCGCGGATCCTCTGGGTTACTTAAGGCCAAAACGACGTCGTTTTGGGAGGGTATAAAAGGCACCTTCCTCCGTTTTTTGGCAGAACGCTCCTCCCCCTCTCTCTCTCTTCTTCCTTTTTCTCTCCCTTCTCTCTAGAAACCGAAGAACACCGGTGCCGGATTCTGGAAATTTTCGTCGGAATCTGGAAATTTCACCGGAAGTTGGCCGGAAAGTCGTCGGTTTCTGGGATTCTGCGTCGAAAACTGGGCAGGTCGCCGGAAACTTCAATGTTGGCCGGAATTTTCGCCGGAAAATTCAAACTTCGCCGGAATTTTCGTCGGAATCTGAAATTTCCCAGAAATTTCCAGAAAAAATTTTCGCCAAAAATTTCTAAAAAATTTTTCTCACTCCCAGAACACTCCTAAACTTTTTCTAACTTCCTATACGCCTCCTTTTCTCTCAAATCAGTAGCTTTGCTTACTGTTTTCTGTGTTTCTGAACTGTTCCAGGAGGTGCTTTATATAGGGATTGATCAGGAGTTTCTGATCAATCCCAATTCCTCCTTGGACGGGAATTCAATCTTTGAATCCCACTGGACTCTTCTGATTGAATTCCCACTTCCAATGGGATTCTTCAGCCTTCAATCTCAGCCCTCCAAAATCAAAAAAAAAAAAAAAACTAGATAATTAGAAAAGAAAATCAAAAATTAAAAATTAAAAATAATATCAGATAATTCGGGAAAAAGAAGATAGAATTAACAGATGATTAAAAAAAATAATAACAAATAAAATAAGATAAACCCAAAAATATATTACACAAAAAAAATAATAATAATATATAACTGTATAAATAAAATACATATAAATCTAATCTGAATAAAAATAAATAAATAAATAAAGATATACATAATAATAATAATAATAATAATAATAGAATACATAAAATACAAAAGAAGAAAAAAAAATATACAGGATTGAAATGGGCCTTACCCATTTGGGTCAGGCCCAATTGATCTGGGCCCGGACCCAATTGGGTGTCTACAGCTGCCCCTCTTTGCACATTTTCTGTGAAACAGAAATTGCGCAAAGACGTAGACACCCAATCAAGACTCAACTCAACATTTTTATTTTTGATTTTTTTTATTTTTGTTTTTATTTTTTTTAATTTTTTGATTTTTTTGATTTTTTGTGTTTTTGTTTTTTTGTTTTTGTTTTTTTGTTTTTTTTTGGCCGAAGCTCCTCTAAACAGATACTCAACGACTTTTGAAAGTAAATTGCTCCTCTAAACAGAGGCAACGGACTTTGGAAAGTAAATTGCTCCTCTCAACAGAGGCACCACGACTTTGGAAAAGTAAATTGCTCCTCTCAACAGAGGCACCACGACTTTGAAAAGTAAATTGCTCCTCTAAACAGAGGCACCACGACTTTGGAAAAATAAATTGCTCCTCTCAACAGAGGCACCATGACTTTTGAAAAGTAAATTGCTCCTCTAAACAGAGGTACCACGACTTTGAAAAGTAAATTGCTCCTCTAAACAATAAATTGCTTTTCTAAACAGAGGCAACGGAACTTTGAAAAATAAATTGCTCCTCTCAACAGAGGTACCACGACTTTGAAAAATAAATTGCTCCTCTAAACAGAGGCAACGGAACTTTGAAAAATAAATTGCTCCTCTAAACAGAGGCAACGAACTTTGAAAAAGTAAATTGCTCCTCTCAACAGAGGTACCACGACTTTGGAAAAGTAAATTGCTCCTCTAAACAGAGGCAACGAAACTTTGAAAAATAAATTGCTCCTCTAAACAGAGGCAACGGAACTTTGAAAAATAAATTGCTCCTCTAAACAGAGGCAACGAACTTTGAAAAAGTAAATTGCTCCTCTAAACAGAGGCACCACGACTTTTGAAAAGTAAATTGCTCCTCTAAACAGAGGCAACGAACTTGGAAAAGTAAATACTCCTAGACAATCATGTCCGAAGGAGTTGAAAGTTGTGTTTGAAGGGATTTCAGGAGATTATGCCCAAAGGTCTTATAAATCAACCCTGATACCAAGAGACATCCTATTTCAAGGATTAGGAACTTACCTGACAAGTTTCTTCTCAAACTTGCAAAGTCTTTTCATATCTGTCTTTTTCATGTGGGATGTTGGAACACCCTTGCTTCTTGAATTTGTACACTATATTCTCCTGAAAGTAGTGTATGCTGTGCAATGCATATGAATTTCAATGCATGCCATGCAAATGTTGGCCAATTAATTCCTGTTCAATGTATGGTACTCAAGTTTCTCAAGCTCTTTTTTTTCTTGGGTGTCAAGCCCTTTGATTCCTCAAGGATCCAATTGCACTGCTCTTCTAAGATCGAACCAGTGTAGCTCTCAATTGTCTCTTCCACTCACATTCTTCTTGTAAGAAATCTCTTCCTAGATTCAATTTCCTAATTAGGAACTGAACATGTCGATTCTGCCTTTTTCACTCTTGACTCATTCAATGTAATGTAAAAATCTTTCCTGTTGTTATTCATTCATCAATCATTATTTCAAATTCAAAAAGTAAGAATGCATTTGCACATTTCTTCAATGGTGGGGTATTAAGAAGAAAAGAATCTGAATGTTGAGAAACAGTCATAAGAAAAAAGACACAAAGAATGGAATAGAATGTCTCTTATTAGCAAAATGTTGGCAAACTTTGGTCAAGAAAGAATTACAAGGATAGGTATGGGGACAAAGCCCAAAATGAACAATCAGATAATCATGATAACACATCTCAAAGTCTTTTCTGAAAACTCAACCCTCTGATGTATTTAACAACTTGGAACTCTTCCGAACTTGCTAGCCCCTATATCAGCAGACTTTTAAATTCGATGCCGTATCCTCCTTATCTAAGCTGCCTTTTCAGGTTTTCAACTTAGACAACCCCCTATGACTCAAACCGCCCTTTTTGGGTTTTCGCCTTGAGTCCTCCTTTTTCATTCACTTTTTCTTTTTTTCCATTTTTTCCATTTTTTTTCATTTTTCATCATTTTTCATTTTTTCCATTTTTTCATTTTTTTTATTTTTTTATTTTTTTTGTATTTTTTTCAAGCATAGTATTTCTTCACAGCATCAGAATTTACAGGATGGGGTAAATCGTTTCCATCCATCTCAGTCAGTATCAATGCTCCACCCGAAAAAGCCCGTTTCACCACATACGGCCCTTCCCAATTCGGAGTCCATTTTCCTCTACTATCGTGCTGGATTGGGAGAATTCTTTTCAAAACCAACTCTCCTTCTCGAAAGCAACGAGGCCGAGTCTTCTTATCATGAGCCCTCATCATTCTTCTTTGGTATAACTGACCATGGCACAGTGCAGTCAATCTCTTCTCTTCTATGAAATTTAACTGCTCATAACGTTCACGAATCCATTCGGCTTCTTCTAACTCAACTTCTTTTAAAACTCTCAAAGAGGGGATCTCTACTTCCACTGGTAGTACAGCTTCCATCCCATAAACCAAAGAAAATGGGGTTGCCCCAGTAGAGGTGCGAACTGACGTTCGGTATGCATGCAATGCGAATGGTAACTTCTCATGCCAATCTTTGTAAGTCTCGGTCATTTTTTCCAAAATCCTCTTTATGTTCTTATTGGCTGCCTCAACTGCCCCATTCATTTTTGGACGGTATGGTGCCGAGTTATGATGCTTGATCTTATATTGAGCACATATTTCTTGCATCATCTTGCTATTTAGATTCTTGGCATTGTCTGAAATGATTTTCTCTGGAAGTCCATATCTACAGATAATCTCCTTTTTTATGAACTTGCAAACCACGGAGTGTGTCACGTTTGCATATGAAGCTGCTTCTACCCATTTTGTGAAGTAATCTATCATCACAAAAATGAATCTGTGCCTGTTAGAAGCCTTTGGGGTGATTGGACCAATGACATCCATGCCCCACATTGAAAATGGCCATGGTGGTGCCATAACATGTAAAGCAGACGGCGGAGCATGAATCTTATCAGCATATATCTGGCATTTATGGCATTTACGAGCATAATCAATGCAATCATTCTCCATCGTCAACCAGTAATATCCCGCTCTCATAATCTGTCTTGCCATCATATGTCCACTAGTATGTGCCCCACATATTCCATCATGCACCTCTTCAATGATTTTTTTCGCTTCAGTCTCATTTACACACCTCAATAGTACTTGATCCTTGCTTCTTTTGTAAAGGATATCCCCATCCAGGAAAAAGCTCATAGCCAATCTTCGGATGACCCTTTTATCATTTTCTGTTGCATGAACTGGATACTGCTGATCCTTGACATATTGTAAGATGTCATAATACCAGGGTTTTCCATCTTCTTCCCCCTCTACATTAGAACAATACGCTGGTATATCCTTAACATCTAACTTGATGGGCTGAATGTCGGTGTCATCATTAATTCGAATCATTGCAGCCAGAGTAGCCAATGCATCAGCAATCACATTTTCTTCTCGAGGTAAGTGATCGAACTGGACATCTTCAAATTGTTTCGTCAACTCTAGAATATACTTATGATACGGAACGAGTTTTGAATCTCTCGTCTCCCATTCTCGTTTCAACTGGTATATAACTAGAGCTGAGTCTCCGAACACTTTCAGTGCTTTTACTCTTCTTTCTATAGCAGCTTGCAAACCCATAACACATGCCTCATACTCAGCGATGTTATTTGTGCAATTGAAATTTAACCTCGCTGTTACAGGATAATATCGTTCTTCTGGAGAAATCAGAATTGCCCCAATTCCATGTCCCAAGGCATTAGCAGCTCCATCAAAGTACATTCTCCAACATTTTTCTACATGCCCCCTTCCTCCAGTTGAGAAATAGTCATTAAGTCTTCATCAGGAAATTCTAGCTTCATCGGCTCATACTCTTCAGTAGCGCGATCTGCAAGAAATTCTGCTATAGCGCTCCCTTTTATTGCTTTTTGGCTCATATATATAATATCATATTCCGAGAGCATTACTTGCCATCTAGCAATTCTTCCAGACAAAGAAGGCTTCTCGAAGATATACTTAATGGGATCCAGTTTTGCTATGAGCCACGTAGTGTGATAAAGCATATACTGTCTGAGTCTTTTGGCAGTCCACGCTAATGCACAACACATTTTCTCCAGTGAAGAATACTTGGATTCATATTCTGTGAACTTTTTACTCAGGTAGTAAATAGCTCTCTCCTTTCGGCTAGCTTCGTCTTGCTGCCCCAGCACACATCCCATTGAACTTTCACATACAGTTAGGTACAAAATTAAAGGTTTTCCTGAAACAGGTGGCACCAATACTGGAGGGTTCGATAAATATTGCTTGATTTTATCGAACGCCTTTTGACATTCTTCATTCCACTTTCCAGGATTATTCTTACGGAGAAGCTTAAAGATGGGATCACATTTGTAAGTAAGCTGAGAGATGAACCGAGAAATGTAGTTCAATCTACCCAAAAAACCTCGAACTTCTTTTAGTGTGCTAGGAGGTGACAAATTTTGGATGGCCTCGTATCTTGTCGGGATCGACTTCAATTCCTCTTTCATTGACCACGAAGCCTAGCAACTTCCCTGACTTTACCCCAAAGGTGCACTTGGCTGGGTTTAATTTTAGCTGAAATTTTCTCAACCTCTCAAATAACTTTCTGAGGCTGGTGACATGATCTTCATCCCCACAAGACTTTGCAATCATATCATCTACATACACTTCGATTTCTTTGTGCATCATATCATGGAAGAGTGTTACCATGGCCCTTTGATATGTTGCCCCAGCATTCTTTAACCCAAAAGGCATGACTTTGTAGCAGAAAGTTCCCCACATGGTCACAAAAGTAGTCTTTTCCATATCATCTGCAGCCATCTTTATCTGATTATACCCTGAGAAACCATCCATAAAGGAGAAAATTGAATGCTTAGCTGTGTTATCTACCAGTGTGTCAATATGAGGCAAAGGAAAGTTATCCTTTGGGCTAGCCTTATTCAAGTCCCGATAGTCCACACACATTCGTACTTTTCCATCTTTCTTAGGAACTGGGACTATATTGGCTACCCATTCTGGATACTTGGCCACTTGTAGAAAACCTGCATCAAATTGTTTCTTCACCTCCTCTTTAATCTTTAGCAGCATTTCGGGCTTCATCCGTCTCAGTTTTTGCTGAACTGGCTTACATTCTGGCTTTAGGGGCAATCTGTGCTCCACTATCTCTGTGCTCAGTCCTGGCATATCCTGGTAAGACCAAGCGAATATATCTACAAATTCACGAAGTAGATCTGCCAACCGTCGCCTATCTTCAGATGTAAGTGAAGTACCTATTCTGACCTCTTTCTTATTCTCTTCATCTCCTAGATTCACTAAGTCCACTACCTCCTGATGAGGCTCAATTGGCTTATTCTCTTGTTCAACCATCCTCATTAGGTCCGGAGGCATAACATATTCTTCAAAATTCTCTTCATTATCAAGTTCATCAGTATTGATTGAATTCTCAAAGCTAACCTCTTGATTGTTATCATGATTATCTTCATGTTCATTTAAAGACCTGCAATTGAATGAAATGGGGATATGTTGGCAAGATGTGCTTGGAGAGATGAAAAAAATGAAGACACAAGAAGAAATGAATGAAAATGCATACTTCCTAATTTTTATTAAAAATAATAAATGATGAATGGCCCAAACAAAAAAGATCACCCCATAGCCTTGGGCAAAAGCTATTGAGATGTTACTATTACATTGAATCAAAATCAAAAGTCAGAGGCATTTCAATGGCACTCCAATTGTTCAGCTCATAGTCTTGTGGACAAAGGCGAACCCACTCCTCTTGATTAGCTCCCATTTCATCTTCAACAACATTAATGGCTAACTGGGCAAAATCGTCTTCCACACTTTCCTTTGCAACTGGGTACATGAATCCTCCAGGTCTGAAGGTTTCATACAAGTGTGGGATAAACATCAGTCTAGCTATTTTTCTTGATGGCCTTCTTTTGACTTCCCACTCTGCCATCTCATAGCCTAGGCCCACCCTGTCGCTATTGTCTGCTATTGTTGGAGGTTCTTTGATTCCCTTGTAAATTTTTGCCTAGCCCTAGTCCTGGACACCAGCCTTTGTTGATGACTTGGCTCACCACTATCTTTGAAAAAGGCTGACTTTGAAATCCTTCACCTACAGTATTGACCAATTCAAAAGATCGATAGGAGCATTCCAATGCTTCTTCGGCAGCCTCTACATATGGAGTGTTCAATGGTTGGGTCACTAGCATGTCTTCCTCCCCAACTACCACTACTAATTGACCTTTCACATTGAATTTGATCTTCTGATGCAAAGTAGAGGGTACAGCTCCTGCCATGTGAATCCATGGCCTTCCTAACAGACAGCTGTAGGATGGAGAGATATCCATCACTTGAAATTTTATATTGAAGGTGCACGGCCCAATTTGTAAGGGCATCTCAATATCCCCAGGACTTCTTTTTTGGTTCCATCAAAGGCTCTCACAATCATCTGACTATCTCGCATATGAGAATAATCGATGGGTAGCCTTGCCAAAGTTGACATAGGCATGACATTGATGGCAGAACCATTATCGATAAGGACTTTAGCTATGATATGGCTCTGGCACTTTACTGTGATATGCAAGGCCTTAGCATTTCTCTTTCCCTCCAAAGAAATCTCATCATCACTGAATGAAATGTGATTTGGCATGACTAAGTTTCCAGCCAAGTGATTCACATATTCGACAGACACGTTATGTGCCACGTATGCCTGATTCAACACTTTCAGCAAGGCATTCCGATGTGGCTCTGAGTTCAGCAACAGTGATAACAATGAGATTCGAGCTGGCATTTTATTCAACTGTTCCACAACTGAATATTCACTATGTTTTACCAGCTTCAGGAATTCACAAACCTCCCTTTCTGATACTGGCTTTGGCTGATCTTCTTCAGGCTCTATCTCTGGATTATTTCGTCTTTCTCCTTCTTTAGCCTTCTCTCTTCTAGCCTTCTCTAGCATTTCTGGGGTGTAACATCTCCCACTTCGAGTAATGCCTCCTACACCAGTAATGTTAGAAGCATCGGCTTTGGAGACCTCTTCTTTTTGCCCCTGCACTACAGCGTCACATCCATATCTCCAGGGTACAGCTTTATCATCTTTGTATGGGAAAGGAGTCGGGACTTTAAAAGTTACCGGCCTAGGGAGGAGCTTGTCTATGACTGATTTTGGTTTGTTTCCACACCGAATTGTCACTGGTTTGGGAAACAGCTTTTCAGGCCTATCATTCATGCACACCTCAGCATTCTTCAAGCTTTCTTTTTCTTCGTAGACCTCCATCTGATGTGAATTCAAAAGTTTTTATACCTCTCGGTGAAACTGTTTACAGGTCTCAATGGAGTGGCCTCTTGCCCCACTATGATACTTACAACTAGTACCAGCTATATATGCTCTATGATAGCTGTGTGGACTTACCAGTTGTATCATATCTACTTTCGTAAGACATCAAACAATTGATCGAAAGGTGTCTTAATATCTACCACTTTTTTCTTCACATGGCGCTCATGCTCTTCAACCTATAACATTCACATTATGATTTGGCAAAGGATTGCCACTAACATTTGGTGCAGTCATCCCTCCAATGTCAAAGCAGATCATCCATCCTTGATCAATCGTTGCACTTTATATTTCAGAGTAGTGCAATTTTCGGTGGAGTGACCAAGCAATCCCATAATGGTAGTCACAGTGGGCAGTGGGGATCATTACCACTTGGGTAAGGTGGCTTGAGGGGTTCCAATTTACTTGAGCAATCAAATGATTGTTGTAGAGCTCCTTGTATAATTCCGTATAGGTCATGGGAATAGGGTCAAAAATAGGTCTTTCGCGAGTGGTTCGTTGCTCCCGCGAGCCACCAGCAGGGTTAGTTGGGCGAATTTGTGGTTTTGGGGTAGGGTTGAATGTTTAGAACTGTACATGGTGTTTTGGGGTCTATGAGAGGTTTGATAAGGTTTGGGGGTATGGTGGTTGTATGGGTGAAAAGAATGTTATTTACAGTGGGGTGATAGGGCAGATATTCTGGTGGGGGGTAGGGCGAATAAACCCTAAGTTGCTGTCTATCAAAGCTCACAGCCTGAGCTTCAGTTTCTTTTTCTTTGGGATTCTTTTGCTAGATGCTTCATTCCTTCTAGCTTGCCATTCTTGATGGCACTCTCAATGATTTCTCCTGAAATTACCATATCGGCAAAATTCTTTGTTGCATTCCCTATCATCTTTTCATAATAGGGAGGTTTTAAAGTGCTAACAAATAGCACTGTAGTTTCTTTCTCGGTCAGAGGAGGCTGTACCTGAGAAGCAATATCTCTCCACCTCTGGGCATACTCTTTAAAAGATTCGTTTGTCTTTTTCTCCAGATTCTGTAAAGACAAACGATCTGGAGCCAAATCGATGATATGTCGGTATTGACTGATAAAGTCATGTGCCATATCGCTCCACGAGCGAATGCGAGTCCTGTCCAGCTGAACATACCATCTGGCCGCAGAGCCAGTAAGACTGTCTTGGAAAACATGCATCAAGAGTTTCTCATCCTGTGCATGAGCTGCCATCTTCCTGCAATACATGGTGATGTGGGTTTTGGGGCACTTTGTACCATCATATTTTTCAAATTTTGGTACCTTGAACTTATGGGGGATAACCACATCAGGAACTAAGCAGAGCCCAGCGGCATCTACTGACCCATAGAAGCTAAATCCTTCCACAGCCCTTAGCCTTTGCTCTAGCATGCTAATCTTGGAACTTTCTTCAGCCTCTACTCTCATCTTTTCTTCTCCTTCTCTTTTAAATCATCTAGATCAGGAATTGGTTCTACTGCCTTTTCAGTGAAGACAGGATTTATATAGCTATTATACTGCCCGGGGTTGAAAGTCGATGGCATTCCAGGATATGTTGGATATGCGAAGTGTTGTGGTGGGACCTCTTGAGCAGACTGAGCTTGAGGTGGGCCAAAACCTGGAGGGTACAATGGGTCAGCCACTTCTTGCTGGCTTGTACTTCCTTCAACTCCTTTTCCTTTATTCATGTTATTGAGGGCCTCCAGAATTTTGCTAAGTTCATTTTCAATCTTCTCCTGAGCTTTTTCTAGCTTTTCAAATCTATGAGAACTTTCTTCCTCCATTTGCCTTGCTCTGGACCTTGTGTTGTATGGATGAGCAGGGTTTTCGCTAGATGGAGCTATCCTCGGACCTTGAGTACCATACTTATGATTAGAAATGTTATGCTGTGCCTTATGTATGATGCTTTGATACACAAATGAAATGTACATTTTTTGAATGAAATCTAGTATGAAATGAATGCAAATGATTGTGTTGAAACATGATCATGAAAAGAATACAGATGCATACAATCAGACAAACAACATAGTTAGTTCCATGGATGAAATGAAAGTGATGCTGATGCATAATGTTACATATGATAAAATAATACACAAAGTTAAGCAATCAAAATGATTAGATAAACACCCTTTTTGTGTCCTAATTTCAGGGTATATCTATCATTGGGTAGAAAGGGCTCTATCCTAGGTGTAGGCACTCTTAAGGTTCACTACATGTGGTTTTAAGGTCAAAGTCTAAAGGTCCTCAAATTGTTCCTTACATCCTTGTCCATCACAGACTAGTAAGGCACCCTAATCCTCACCCATTACAGGCTACAAGCGGAAAAGGTTCAATTTGAGTGGGAGTATTTCGCTAGCCACTGCGGAGGCATTAGACCTCACGAAAGCAATAGGTACTTTACTCCCTCCTAGAGGGACGGAGCTCGGGTATAGAGCTCATGTTATGCACATGCACATGAATGACATAATTAACAAGTAAATAAACATGAATGAATAATAACACATATATACAAAAATGGTTCAATTTTATTAGGCTTTTGGATAACACAAATTATTTGCTGGCCTGACTCTCAAAGTCCCCAGTGGAGTCGCCAAGCTGTCATAACGTCTAGATCCGGGGATCTATCGCTAGACATTGACTTTAGGGAGTCGCCACCAATCTTTTTTATCTAGGTGCGATTGGCCACCTAAGGAATCTGTCCTTTCAGGGAACACCTAAGTTTAAGGGTCCCTAAAAGAATAGGTTCAGGTCTGCTAACCAGAACAGGGTTCGGGAGTTCGGTTACGTGTGAGGAAGGTTATAGCACCCTCACAACGCCCATCAAAAGATGGTACCAGCTTGAATTTGTGTTATCCAAAAGCCTTAAAATTTTACCAAGTAATTAATTATTGAAATTTTCTCAATTGACTCTAATACTTTTAGCAGAAAATTGAGAAAATTCCCTCACCTCAAGAGTATGCAAGAAAAACTACTGTTTCACTTACAGAGGCTCCGTCGTCGGATTATTTAAAAGAAAAAAAACAAAATCAAAATTAAGATAGAAAGGAAGAAAAGAATGATTTTTTTTTTAGGGAAAATTGATACTTTCAACTTTTCCCCAAAAATATTTTTTGAAAATTTCGATTTTCAAGGAAAATTGATACTTTCAACTTTTCCTCAAAAACCCTTTTTTTTGAAAATTTATTTCTAAGGAAAATTGATACTTTCAACTTTTCCCCAAAAATATTTTTTTTGAAATTTTGATTTTCAAGGAAAATTGATACTTTCAACTTTTCCCTAAAAAACTTTTTTTGAAAATTTATTTCTAAGGAAAATTGATACTTTCAACTTTTCCCCAAAAATATTTTTTGGAAATTTATTTCTAAGGAAAATTGATACTTTCAACTTTTCCCTAAAAATATTTTTTTTGAAATTTATTTCTGAGGAAAATTGATACTTTCAACTTTTCCCCAAAAATTTTTTTTTTTGGAAATTTATTTCTAAGAAAATTGATACTTTCAACTTTTCCCTAAAAATATATTTTTTTGGAATTTTTTTATTTTTATTTAAAAAAAATAAAATAATAAAAAATAAATAAAAAGAATATTACATAAACCTAATCTAATAAATAAAAAATAAAATAAACAAATAAACAAAGAAAAAAATTAAAAGAAAAAAAAAAAAAAAAACCTGGAGCGGCTCGGCTCGCGGCTCGGCTCGGCTCGACTCAAGGCAGGAAAACGGCTCGGGGGGGAGCGGCTTGGCAGCTTGGCTCGGCTCGGCTCGGAGGGGCTGGCACGCGCGGGTCAGAAAGCGGGTCGACGCCCGGGTCGGGTCGGGTTGCGGTAAAACGCGCGGATCCTCTGGGTTACTTAAGGCCAAAACGACGTCATTTTGGGAGGGTATAAAAGGCACCTTCCTCCATTTTTCGGCAGAACGCTCCTCCCCCTCTCTCTTTCTTCTTCCTTTTTCTCTCCCTTCTCTCTAGAAACCGAAGAACACCGGTGCCGGATTCTGGAAATTTTCGCCGGAATCTGGAAATTTCACCGGAAGTTGGCCGGAAAGTCGCCGGTTTCTGGGATTCTGCGCCGAAAACTGGACAGGTCGCCGGAAACTTCAATGTTGGCCGGAATTTTCGCCGGAAAATTCAAACTTCGCCGGAATTTTCGCCGGAATCTGGAAATTTCCCAGAAATTTCCAGAAAAAATTTTCGCCAAAAATTTCTAAAAATTTTTCTCACTCCCAGAACACTCCTAAACTTTTCCTAGCTTCCTATACGCCTCCTTTTCTCTTAATCAGTAGCTTTGCTTACTGTTTTCTGTCTTCAGCATTGTTCCAGGAGGTGCTTTATATAGGGATTGATCAGGAGTTTCTGATCAATCCCAATTCCTCCTTGGACGGGAATTCAATCTTTGAATCCCACTGGACTCTTCTGATTGAATTCCCACTTCCAATGGGATTCTTCAGCCTTCAATCTCAGCCCTCCAAAATCAAAATAAAAAAAAAACTAGATAATTAGAAAAGAAAATCAAAAATTAAAAATTAAAAATAATATCAGATAATTCGGGAAAAAGAAGATAGAATTAACAGATGATTAAAAAAATAATAACAAATAAAATAAGATAAACCCAAAAATATATTACACAAAAAAATAATAATAATATATAACTGTATAAATAAAATACATATAAATCTAATCTGAATAAAAATAAATAAATAAATAAAGATATACATAATAATAATAATAATAATAATAATAATAGAATACATGAAATACAAAAGAAGAAAAAAAAATATACAGGATTGAAATGGGCCTTACCCATTTGGGTCAGGCCCAATTGATCTGGGCCCGGACCCAATTGGGTGTCTACAGTTACAATGAGATCAAGGTCCAGGTGGAAAACGACAACGTTCTTGTGGTGAGTGGGGAGCGAAAGCGTGAGAAAGAACAAGATGAGAAAGAAGGGGTCAAGTATGTGAGGATGGAAAGAAAGGTTGGAAAGTTCATGAGGAAGTTCGCATTGCCTGAAAATGCAAATATGGATAAGATATCTGCAATTTGTCAGGATGGGGTTTTGAGAGTGACTGTGGAGAAGCTGCCTCCACCTGAACCTAAACAGCCTAAGACCATTGAAGTCAAAGTTGCATGAGCAATATGGTTTATAAGTCATGCTTGATTTGCAAAACTTATTAAAGACAAGTGTGTGTTTCTTTTAGTTTGTACTTGGTTGTGTGAGTTTTGAAGTTTATGAATATATAGAATAAAGACCGAAGTGTATTTCTTTGTATCTTATTGGAGCCATTGTCTTTTAATCTCCTTCTCTTTCATCTGTTTCTTCCTTTCTTCTACCAAAGTACCTATGAGTTAAAGGACATATTGTGTAACAAAGTCGGTTTAATATATCAACTTATTATATGAATTGCCCGACAGCAACTTGAAATTCCAAAATGATCTCCACTTTATAACTTTCATCAATAAATCACAGTTAATATTCTGGTTTGGCCCGAGTTGTGTTAGAAGTTGAACGACAGACATTGGACATCAACTTTTGAAACAATTACAAACAACCAAAAGACTTAAGATTATGAGTTATGTTTCCTCAAAAAAATTACTATGATTTATGAAGTTTATTCAATACTTGATTATATTGGTTACCAATATCTTTAGATAGATATGGTAATATCGTTTAAAAAAATATTTAAATAAAATTAACATATGTTGATTCGAATAATAAGAAATTCAATTATTCTTAAGTAAGGTTTTAGTTTTGAATCTTATAAATGAAGAAAACAGGCTTGGAAGAACTTATCCCTTTTATGAAGTTCGACTTAGCTCAACTTTGAATTAATTAAGATCCAAATTAGTTATCGAACACCGAAGAATCTTAGACAAAAAAAAATCTAAATGAAAATGGGAAGGAAACAATTGTCTTGGTTGGACTTACATGGCCTGAAACATGGGACACAAAATGTTATGCTCACTCACCAGTAGTATTTTGGATCTAAACTTAACATTCTGTAGGACTATAGCCAATAACATGTGAAAATCACAAAGCTTATAGTTTATTGAGAATAGTGATTTAAATCTTATAAAAGATTTGTTTGAGATTAATTAAATATTGTTTGATGAACAAAAAAACTTATAAAAGAAGAATTCTAAAAGAAAAGAGATTCTTGATAGATAAGTTTAACTTGTAGAAGAAAAATTTTAAAAGAAAAAGGGATTCTTAATAAGTTTGTATGTTTATAAATAGATGAAATTTATAAGATTAAGTATAAAAAAAAAAGATGTAAGAAAGTTATAAAGTTTTATGAGATGACACTTTATAAAACTATTAGAGATTTACATCTTATGAGTGTATATGTTTAAATGTTAGAGTGGATTATAGGATACTGAGAGGATCACATAGGTATAGGTGTGTATGTCAGAGTGAATTATAAGAGATTGAGAAAATCCACATAGGTATAAGTACATAAGTATATATAGATATATGTTTATTTGAGTTAAGAATACTTCATAGGACTAGAGATGATTCGTCTATGGGTATTAATTGTTGAATAATTGATATGATTTATATGCTTGTAATTCTCTACAATTAGTGAATTTTTTTTACTTGTGGACGTAGGTCAGTTAGACCTAATCATGTTAAATTACTATATCTTATGTGATTGATTAATTATTTGATTATGTTTTTGCTAGTGTGATTGGATTGAAACTTTTTTGCCTAACAAGTGGTATCAGAGCTGTGGTAATTTCTAACAAGTAATATCAAAGCTATGGTGATCTCTAACAAGTAGTATCAAAGTTGAATGTTCTAGACATAGGAAGAGACAAGCCTAGAGAAATTCGATTCAAGTGAAGAGTTCGAGTTCATGTTTTGAAAATTGATTTGCAAAAAGCTTGAAGGCAAACAAGAAAAGATAACTGTAAGACTTTCATTATAGGTGGAGCTAAGCAGGTCTAATATGAATATAGATAATTTGATGAAATTTGAGTTAAATGTAAAAATTGTTAAGCATAGTGACTCAAATCCCATAAGAGATTTATTTGAAATTAAGTAAAAATTACTTGATGGATAAAAGACTTACAAAATAAGAATTCTAAGAAAAAAGAGATTCTTAATAAGTAAATTTGATTTGCAAAAAAAAAATCTAAAAAGAAATAAATTCTTAATATGCAAGTTTGTATACTTAGAAATAGATAGCTTCTATAAGGTTAGGTATAAGAAAAAGATATAAAAGAATTGTAAGATTTTATGGGATAGACTTCTTATAAGATTACTGAAAGTTTATGTCTTATGAATATGTACATTTGAATATTAGAATGGATTACAAGAGATTAAAAAGATCCACATAGGTATGTGTGTATGATAATATAAAAGAATGTGTTTGTTTGATTTGAAAATACTTTATAAAATTGAAAGAAATTGAAAGAATCTGTAGGTATTAATTGTTAAATGATTGATATGATTTGTATATTTGTAATTATTTACAATTAGTGAATTTTTTTAATTTGTCAATATAAATTAATTGGGTCGAATCATATTAAATTATTATCTCTTATATAATTAATTGTTTGATTATGCTTTCTCTAATGTGATTAGATTAAAATTTTTTACTTAATAAATGATATCAAAACAGTAATAATCGCTATCATAACCCCGATAACTTCTCTTTTGCTCCGTATGATCAGTTGCTACTTGCTAGTTTTGTCCCTATGTTTCCTCCTTTTATCTTCAACAAATGAAAAAAAAAAAAACTTTAATTTTTCATTTGGTCAAAACCTTTTTGTTTTTGTTTTACATAAGTCTTACTCACTGCTCCTTACATAATATTAACAATTTATCGCTATTTTTTACAAACCCAGTTGAAAACAAGGCTTCATTTTTTCTCAGTTAAGATTTCTTTTTGGTTGATGAGAATATATAATATATACTGTATTACGTTACATAAACTTTGATGGACTTTCTCAGAAAAGAAAAAAAAAAAACCCTTAATCCCAGCGATCCCAAAGAGAACCCCACAGTTGCCAGTTGCCACGTCCCCTAGAGACCTACTCCGCGTGGATCTTAAACAGCCCAGTCGGCAACCACGTATCAGGCGTAAAGACAACTTGCACCGAATGCTTTAGCTTGCTGCTAAATTCACTACTTAAGGCATCCCTAGGTGACGAACAGCCCAGTCCTTCCATTGACGTGTATCATTGAAGTTTTGCTCGTGCATGTGTATCCTTTCTTCATAAATCAATTGCATGCAATTCATTTGTCTGTCACCCCCAAACGGATGGTTAATTGTTTCTCTAGCTAGAAATCAACCCAAGAGTTGTCCTCTATAGTCTATACCGTTCTAGAACCTCATCAAAAGAAGAAACCTCCTTAAAAGACCCAAAACCGCTTCAGTTTTCACGCATCTAACTCACTATAAAAGCCCACCCAAGGCAGCATTCCCTTCACAGCCAATAAAAGAAGTTGCTACTACCGCAGAGAATACCAATCTTACATCTCTTTTTCTGCCTGCAAGAAAGAAAAGAAATTTCGGCAGAGAGAAGATGGATTGGAGAGTCATGGGATCTGATCCATCCATCATTGACACCCTCCATGAGCTCCTTGACTTCCCTGACGAGGCCGACAAGTCCCAGCCCCATCCCTCTCGCGCCTACATCCGGGACGCAAAAGCAATGGCAGCGACGCCAGCTGACGTGAAAGACTGCCTTAATTCATACGTGGTTGTAATTGACATGCCAGGGCTCAAACCAGACCAGTTGAAGGTCCAAGTTGAAGAGGACAACTTGCTGGTGGTGAGTGGAGAGAGGAAGAGGGAGAAAGAGAAAGATCAGGGCGTGAAGTACATAAAGATGGAGAGGAGGCTCGGCAAGTATCTAAAGAAGTTTCAGCTCCCAGAAAATGCTGATACTGAAAAGATATCAGCTTCGTATCTAGACGGAGTCTTGATTGTGACTGTGGAGAAGAAGCCACCACCAGAGCCCAAGAAGCCCAAGACGGTTGAAGTGCAAGTGAGTTAAGAGGTCAGAAACTATGCTCCTACAGCGTAGTTGAAGGTTCAAATAAGAGCAGCTTGAGACTGTGCAGGCTTGCTTGGTGAGGTGTAAGAAAGTGAGGATGTGAGTTTGTTGTCTTTTGTGTTTTTGGTGCCGGGGACTCTAGAGAGCTTTGGAGGAGTGGACTGGTTCTGTTCTTTCAATACAGTTCTCGTAATGTCTGTGAACAGTGTTTATGAAAATATATGGAAAAAAAAAAAAACTTGCTTTAATCATATGTGTACAAAAATGATCTTGAAATTTAACTCCTTACTCTTACTTTTTAGGGGAAAAAACATGCTAATACCGTTGAATTCATAGGAGTGTAGTGGAACAATACCATTGAATTCATGTTTCCCTTGCTACTTGGAGCTGAGTTTGTTGAAAGCGAATTTAGAAGTTTACTAGAAAATTAGGTACAATATCATGTGGAGGAAGAAGCAAAGTACCCTTATTTTGACCCTCTTCATCTGATCTTATCGTATGGGGCCACCACATTGTCTGTAATAAACTTCAATTCAACAAAAGTAGTTCTCATCCAGAAATTTTCAAACCAACTTTGATGGACTGTGTTAGTAAAACTATAACTTCTTTTTCTTTTTTGCATCGAAATGCCATATTCATATGTGAAGAAGACATAGGCCCAAGGAATCAAGGAGGAGCCCAACATTTTGCAAGAAATTTTTGAAAAGGCAATAGGCGGTAGCCCCAACGATTTTAAATTAGTCTGAAACTTTTAAAAGCAAAGTTGGCCCACACTATCAACCAATGAAGAAAGGAAAGTCAAAAGAATTCTAGACCTTCGAAAGCATTCTGGAAAGTGGAAATCACTCGAGAGAGAATGTGATACAACTTTCTGGAAAACTCCTGACAATTACCTCCAGAAACTTCCGACCCAACTTTATAAATGCTCAAAACCATCAATCAAATAATCAGAGTAAACAGCATACTATAGCTAAAACAAAATCCTATAACAATTTCACCCAAAGTTCCGGCAGCGAAAAAGAGAAATGGATTTCAGAATCATGGGTTTGGATTCTCCATTCTTGCAGACCCTCCACTACATGATGGACCTACCCGACGACACGGAGAAGACCCCCAATGCACCATCGAGGGCCTATGTTCGTGATGCTAAGGCAATGGCGGCTACTCCGGCGGACATTAAGGAGTACCCCAAGTCATATGTGTTCATCGTCGACATGCCTGGACTGAAATCAGGGGACATCAAGGTGCAAGTGGAGGATGACAATGTGCTGTTGATCAGCGGAGAGAGGAAGCGAGAGGAAGAGAAAGAAGGAGCTAAGTACGTGAGAATGGAGAGGCGGGTCGGTAAGTTTATGAGGAAGTTTGTGTTGCCTGAAAATGCTAATACTGATGCTATTACTGCAGAGTGTCAAGATGGCGTTGTGACTGTCACTGTGGAGAAATTGCCACCGCCTGAGCCTAAGAAACCTAAGACCATTGAGGTCAAGATTGCATGAGAGGGTTTTTAGTTTGGGGAGGTTTTATATGAACTATATGTTGTGGCCAATGTGGGTTTCGAATAATTTGGGTTTATGGGTTTCGAATAATTGGGGTTCATGGGTTCTTTCTAGTATTTACCGTTCTGGCTTCTGAATGTGTTTATGGTTTGATATTACGGTTCCCTTCCCTGTTATGGATTTTGATGAAATCACGAAATATTGCTGATGTTATTAATTAGTATTTTCTTGTATGTTTTTCTTCTCTAAATCCTAATATTTAGTCCCATATATTATTAGTACTAAGTCAATTCTTAGCCGAAAATGATGAATGAAAGTTCTCAAGTCTGAAGTAACGTGAAATGAAGTTTGAATGAATATTCATAAAAAAGAAAGGAGTTTTGAATAGAGTGCATGCTGTTCGTAGAAATGAACAATGGTCGCTAGCGTCGAGATTTTTTAAGTGTAAGACCATTGAAGTTTAAGGTCGAATAAAACTATTTAATGGGGTTATTGTTGTTATCTTCGTTGTTATCTTCTGATGGCAGAAAAATGTTGAATTGCTGATGTTAACAAAATGAGATTACCTTATTTCAATTACATAAACGTTTAGTTAACAATGATCGACGGAATTGTTCATGTCCTATATACTCCAAAATTAGTCAAATAGATTTAATGGGATTCAAAAGGAACAAAGAAAAGGCATAGAAACTTTGAAGATGAAGACACAACAGGTTTCGAAGAAATCAAATTAACAAAGTTTTTTTAATTAAAGCTTTAATCATGGGTGTTTATTTCAGGTCAATCCTCGAACTTGGTTTACAATATAACCGCATTTTAAACATTCCGCCAAACAGAGTTGGCACTGCAAGTCTTCCCTTTTTCTTGTTCAGACGTCTCTTTCTTTTAGGAAGGGGACGAGAAGAATCAAGAGTGGCCCTTTCGGGCTTCAATAATGGTTGGATCGTGGTTCTATCTTTTCTGATAAACAGCGCAATGAAAAAGCCTTCTTTGTCCTCCACTGGGTCAGTCCGGAGCAAATGTTCAGCTAAAAGGCAATAATGCAGCAAGGATTTAAGTCATTAATCGCCCGTAATAGTGATGATACAAATGCCTGAAAGCAGCTAATGACAAGGATATTTGATGAAGAAAGTATCTACTTACAGCCTTCAAGCACTGGAAGACCACGACGGTACCACTGGGGAAAAGGAGTTGCTAGTTGAAAACCATGGGATGCAGCAAGCGGTAAAACAGACTTGACGACATCTTCATTTTCAATTTGGTGGATGGAACAAGTGCTGTAAACAATTCTCTCAACTTGTGGAACTGTAGTAGAAAATATATAAACAATAATCAATCCATAACGCTCCTCAAATATTTCTATGGGCACCATACTAACAATTCAGCAACAATATTTTGTGCAAAGTTACAAAACTAATCTATTCTACATTCTAACTTAAAGCTAATATATGCTCCAACTGTTTTTAAAAGTTGACAAGGGCTAGCATGGATAAAAATACAAACATAGGTAGGGAAAAAAAAATACTTAACAGCATAGTGCATGTGCTAGAGCTTTCTTTTGAAAGGAAGCCAGCTTGTTCAGTCTTTCTCTTTCATCAATGTTAACCGCTTGACCTGCATAATTTGATGATTAAGGTGCAGCATATAATTCACCTTGTTTATGATTGAAAAATCAAATAATAATGACTGCATACAAAAAGGATACCTTAAGAGGAAGGTTATTTGGTATAGCAGTGTAACCAGAAATATACATTGCAATTACATCAGCAATACTTACTATTTTCCAGAATTTTATTACTCGAAACCATAAGTAGGTAAAAACTCGAGAGTTTAACATAATTATCAAATTTAAAAAAAATGAAGAGATAATTAACATCATAAAGCAAGAAAGAGATAATTAAAATACTAAAAAGATATATTCAATCACCAACAGATATAAGACTCAGCAAGTTACCAGTAGCATAAGATGGGAGCAAATGGTCCAATCTCTCAGCAACAGTACCGGATCCGGAGCAGGAAGGATCCAAAAGAATAGCACAGACCTGCAAAGTTAAATTTGGTTGAGAGTACAACGAAAAATAAGACTATAGATTTAAAAGAAATCTCGGGGAGAAAGATCATTTGAAGTTCGGAAACAGGGTCCAGAACTTATCAATGCTTACGGTATGAGCTGCTCGGCTTTAATAGAAAGCCCAACTGGCTATTGAAAAAGTGCTGATGATATTAATAAGTCATCAGGCATTCTACTTTTCAGACTCTAAAGGTGCAACCATCAGTCTTTTTGAAAAAAGCTGTAACCCAAAGAATATTAACTACAGCCAAGACACAAAGCAGAGAACATGCTTACCTTGGAGTAAAGAGGATTTTTCGGGTCTAAGCTTAGAAAATCGCCATGCAGAACTTCAATATCTACAACCCAGTTAAGAACAGCACACTACCACAAACATCTTCATATAGAAACTGGAAGAATGATCACAAACTACACTAGTAAATGACAACAAACGAAAATGACAGATCATAAAATAAGGACAACAGATTGAAGAATGCTCAAAAACAGCGCAGCTTCCAAGTCATATATCGCAGGCCCTTCAACAATGGCAACATATAAATGAAAATAAGTACCAATACTTAAGTACTCAAGTATATAAATGAAATGATGAAACAATATTTAAGGATACTGTGTGCACCAGATAGTCTGACAGTGTTTTCTAAACGTTTTATCCTTTCCTTATTTAGTTCACAGGCTATAACCTTTCCTTTCCCTCTCATAAGAGCAGCAAGATGGACAGTTTTGTTCCCTGGAGCAGCACATGCATCAAGAACCTTCACAGAAAATTGGAATCAAGCAAACTATACATAGCTGCCAACATAAAACTCAAGAAAAGACCATATGAACATCTACCCTACAGCCAAAATGAGTTGTGGCTGTATGACTTTCAGAAACAAATGTAAGAGAATGAGGACTTGTACAAGGAACGAATATAAAAAGAACAGATAAGTAGCTACTTTGTCCAGTAAAAGACTTGGTAAACAAGTAACAATTGATGACCATAACTCACCTCCCATCCTGGTTCAGGATCCAAAGCAGCTGCCACCATAGAACTCGCTTTCCCCTATACGATTACAAATTTGAATCAAACATGAAAAAGAAATGGTATCAGTGCCTAGTCACAGTAATTTTCCAACAGGAGACAACTGTAGTACTCGCTTATTCATGAATGTATTAAACACTTACTTGCATAAACACACATCCACTCACAACCAAAGGATGATCATGAAGATCACATTTTGGGGGGAGTTTTAACAAGTCAGGAACTAGGTTATCTTTCTGCACCTATGAACGAAATGAGAGATTGTAACAAAATAAAACACATAAAAAACTGGCCTCTGAATTAGATGCAGAGTAGAGATATCATCAAAGTAAGCAAAAACTTAAAAAACAATAAAGAAGAGGTTAATAAAAGGAAAACATAAACTTTTGACTAAATATACTGTAGAAAAAACCAAAAATATGATAATAAAACAAGAAGCAATGAGAAAGGCACTCATGGTTGCTTTAGAGATTAACTCTGGTTGATGGCAGGTTGCACTTATAAAATACTTCACTCATGTTACTTCGTATTTCCTATGAAAACATTTAAAATAACTCAACAACCCCACTAAGAATTAAGATTTAGCTTTAGCATAGTTTCAGAAAGTACCACATATTGTTTCCCTAATTCAATCAAAGCAGAATCAACACCCAATTTAAGTGTGTTCACTCGAACATAGCGGGGCTTTGAAACGTCTGTGATAAACAATTAAGCCATCCATCAAGAAGGAATGATTTAACAAGCAACAGAATGACACAAATGGATGCAAGAAAACATCTTAACACATACCAGGAGTTTGATAAAGATCAATCAAGTCTTCAAGTCGCTTCACCTTTTTCCTCACTAAAAGCCGAGCTAAAGCAGACTGAAGAGAAACTTTCCGCTGAACTAGAAATTTCTCCGCATCACCAATTAATGAAATTTCCTAGAAATTAGAAATCATACCACAAGATTATCAGACAGATGCAAAACAAAGGCAGAAGATTTGCAAAAATAGCATATCAAAGATTAACCCTTTAGCAAACAACAGCCAAACCATACATACAAAAATTGCTGCAACTCCTCAGCATACATTACTGCCTCCCATTAGCTCAGTGAGACAGTCTTAGAAGGCAGAAGATTCTTTGAGACTGAATACTAAGCATCATTATTAGACATGCAATCGTTTAGTTCACTAATCGTATTATGTCTTAAGAGTATAGAACTCCTGCTTTCGTCTCACCTACCATGCAATCGGTAAAATCAAAGAGTTTGCGTGTTTTCAGAGAAAGTTCACACATTATCCCCAATAAGGCCAAAAAGGGAAGAGAAGACGTAAAATATGGAAATGTTAAGCTAATGAAGATACAAAAAACCATTACCTGACCAAAAAGAATATCATATGTGATTATATAAACCAATTCCTCTTGCCTCTGCAACATCACAATAATAATCACCATTATCAAACACTTAATCTATAGCAGTTACCCACCACCTCCAGTAAAATAATATAACAGAAAAAAAAGTAAACAGAGGACAGAAAAAAATCATTGCTTTTCTATTACTTAAAACCCATAAATTTTTACCTTCCATCTACTATTCAATATGTTAGCACCCTCCAACACATCCTTAATTATAGGAAGATCTGAAAGCAACAAAATAATAATAATAATAATAATTAGCTGAAATATTTTAAATCTTCAAATGATTTTGCTCTTACTATCAAAAAGAAACATTGATTGAAATTAAAAGAAGAAGAAACTTTAACTTACGTTTGAGTGTTTGGCAAACGAGAGCGAAAGTAGCCTTCTTGTTCTTAATAGTAGGGCTATAAACGAGGGTCTTTATGGAGCCGACGGCTCGTCGAAAAGCGTCTCCTTGGAGAACGGACCGTAGTACCTTCGCCGCCTCTCTCCTGGCAAAGTAAGCCGACCTCTCGGCGTTGCTCAGACGACGCATCCTCGGTTTCTCGGCGGGCCTCATCGGTTGCTTCGCCTTGAAACGCGCCATTGTTTTGCAAGAAGAGTGAGGAGTAGCAGGGAGCAGAGAAACCTGAAATCCTATTCTCCAGTCCATTCAACTTAATTGGAAACGCACCGTTTTCTTCTTTGAGGGCTAGGGCTCTGACGGGCCCCTTATTTCACTGGGCCTGGGAAGGACGTTCCCAAGCCCAATACTAGCCCCAAATATTGCTTCATTATAAATAAACAATTTTATTTAAATATATTTCAAATGTTTTATTTTAATATTAAAGTTTACGTCAGGTTAGTTTTATCCATTAACAGCTTTAAAGAAAAAAAATTACTTAACTAATAGTTAGTTTAACATTTTTTTTGTTGTTTAAACGTTGTTGTCCACAACTTTCGTACCCTCCCCACTTCCACATTTGAAAGCATTAATCGTGGAAATTTTGTTTGAAAGTTGTACTACTATTTTTGGTCATGCATCAGATTTTTCTTTATTTTTATACTATATACCAAATATTAAGATAGACTTCCTTTAATGTTACTTATGGTTTTGTAGGAATATTGTTAATTTATATTTGATAATTTAAAATACAAAATAATGATATAATATAAAAATAATATGATTTAAAATTTTAACAAAAATTATAAATAAGTTTAACAAAATTAAAAATATATATTTCATATTTTTGTATCAATAAAAATTGTGACATATAATTTTCGTATAAAATATAATACGAATATATAAATTATTAATATTTTATATGATATGAATATATAAATTATCAAATCTAATTATCATGATAAATTAAGAAAAAATCAATTATTCTTATTTTCTAAAATTTTTAAGTTGAATGAAATATATGAACTCCATATAAGAAGGAAAATAAAAAAAAAAATTTTCTCCAACAACGATATGATTTATTTCAATAATAAAAATTTAATCTTTGATAGTTTTAAATAAAAATAAATAAATAAACTCTTCTACCTACTTGCAAAGTGGAACACGTAAAGTTAAAAATTGGCAATTCTCTATGTTCTTCCATGTCAAGATAAAAGGAAAAAAAATTGTTGTCTCAACTTAATTATTTGCTACTACTACGATCTGATAACTTTTTGGGGGTATGAGGTTGCGTAATTCAACTTACCACACAAGTAAATCAATTAATGATGAAAGCAAAGTATGAATAATCCGATTCCATGGTGATGCCATTTCCATAAATACTGGAGTCAAATCAAACAAAGACTTAGCTATGCTTCCTGTCACATTTGTCGGAGGCCTATGGTTTTAAAGATGATAGATGATTTTCTTTGATTCCGCAATCTGGCTTCCAGGAACAAGGCAATGGTTGAAAAATAAGAGATTATTTTATCCGATGATTTGACCTGGGCAAACCTTACGCACGGTTGACTGTAAGCTACGTTGGATGGACACTAAAATTAATTACGGTAATATTGAAAAAAAATTAATAATAATAGTGAAAAATATCTTCTATTTTAGTTTTACATTAAAACAATACCCCTTCTTAGGTGAAACAATCATTATTGAACCATTTTCCTTCCGGTCTCAAGGAAAGGTGATGCAGTCGAAAGCCTTCAACTCAATGCTGGAATGCTACCGAGGTCAAATGTACCCCAAAGTGCGGTTGGAAGAAAAGGGGGCAATAAAAAAAATTTTACCATATTTTATTAGCAAGTCATTCTAAAATTGGTTTTAAAATAGCTGAAGTGAAGCCAATTAGTTGGTCAGAACGTAGGAAAGTTAGAAAAGCTTACAATCACTATGGAAGTTTCATGTGAACTTCGGGGCCGGGGTGGTCAAGGAGTCTGTTAGAAGGTGAAAAACTGGAGATAGCCAGTCTGCCTTAATGATGAAGATGGATTTGTCTGCAGTTAGAGATCAATGTAAGAAATTCTGGATTAACTTGGCTGGCTGGCGACCATTGACCAAAATTCGTGTTTTAAAGATGGCGGAAGCAATGGCTAAGAGGACTTTCTTTTTTTTTTTTGTTAACAACCATTTTTTTCCTTTGGATTTTGGAATTTTGGTTGTCTGCTGTTTTACATAGTTCACATAAGAAACCAATCGAGTTCATGGTTCACACCCTACAAAAAGTGCAAAATACAGCGGATCCTGATGGCATATAGCAACTCTTTCTTTTCTTTGGGAGGGGGATAGGAGCAAGTTATATGTAAATAAAGACCCGAATAATGTTATCATGTTTCAAGTCACAATCACTTTTGACTTGTCTTCTCTAACAACGTTGTGAAAGGGTTGGTCTAAGCACGAGACTGAAAAGCTAAATTCACACAAACAATTAAGTCTTCCTCTCAAGTCATCCTTGGGGATGTCCCACTTCCTTTTAACTTCTTAATGGTATGAACCTGGGACCCAAACATCTCAATACTTAGGCATTCAGCATTAGGATAGAAGTTTCCCTGCAATGTCACAGGAAGGTCATGGCGAAACTACCTTGCTGATTAAGCGGAATATAATATATGTGTTTACCATTATCGAAACGGTATAGACATTAGTAGACCTTTAGTTTCAATATCTAAATGTCTAATAACAGTGCTATACCGCCAGACTCACCAGAAAGCGATCATGCCGATCAATCCAACTTCGAGTTCCCTGAGGAGTACTTCACTTTAGATGATTGGCTGGAGGATTATCCTGAAGCTAACCTCTCGGTGCCAACTGAGAATCCTGTTAATCAAGCCAATAAAGTTAATGATTCTGCTGGCTCTAGCAGCCTCCTTCAAAGACCAGCTGATCATAACAGTAAGAAAAGTCATTACTTAAACATCTTAAGTTTCTATATTAGTCTGTAGCCACTGAATCATCTTTCTTTGTTGTTACTCGTGTTAACAGGAGAAAGTGAAACTATCGGGGAGAGAAGGGAATTCAAAGAAAGATATGCATTCAAGACCAAGTCAGAGGTTGAGATACTGGATGATGGATACAGATGGAGGAAATATGGGAAGAAGATGGTGAAGAACAGCCCGAATCCAAGGTAGTATCCAATGCTTGTATAATTTTAATATTTAACTCACAGGTTTCACTATATTAGTTAATACAGTTAACATTGCAGCCTGTATTCATTTTCTTCAAAGGCTGCTACCAGTTCCTTAGGTGATAACTAGAGCTGTTCACTTATAACCCTTAGACGTTTTAATTTCTTATTATTTGATTAATAGGAACTACTATAGATGTTCTGTTGAAGGATGCCCTGTGAAGAAAAGAGTTGAAAGAGATAAAGAGGACCCAAGTTATGTAATTACAACATATGAGGGTATCCATAACCACCAAAGCGCTTCTTGAATCAGTTGCTTTCTCTCAGGTTCGAGTTCTTTGACCAGTAATATCTCACAGCCAACTCCTGCAGAAGTCGATCTGCATTTATCACATCCACGACATGATACTCAATTCATGTATGTATGATTAAGAAATCTAAAGATAATATCAAAGAGTCTCAGTCCGTTTTATTCATGTAGGTATCTTTTAAGAAATCTAAGGATCAGAATCCCTGGGGGTTTGGCCAACTTTATTTCGTTCTTGGTTTGTTATGTACACATTTTGTTAACTGGCAGAACCCTAAGATGGGGTTTATTCCCGTTTTTAACTGATAGGTTTTAATTATAAGTTGGTCCTTTTTAGTGTCATCAGCACAAGCTCAGGCTGCTGTATTTTTTAACTATGGAGCAATAATGGTGAACGTTGAAAATCAAGCTTGGAGCCTTGGAGACAGTATAACGTGACATGAGACTTTTAACTTTTTGATTTGATTGGTAACGTTCTTCAGTAGGATTATGTTAAAAGTAAACAATACATCCTTGCATAGCTGTATAATTTTGTGTGCAGAAATAGTAATTTAAGTCAAAGATACAAGTTTGAAATCACACTGAACGCAATTAAATTACCATCCACGAAAGTATTTATTTGTCAAGCAATTAACTTGAGGGTGCCGCCGCACGGCCTTTTTGTCTGGCGGTGGGCTGGTAAATATCAAAGTTCTGTTAGGGGCCAAAGCAGGTTTGACCTCTTAGTCAGTCTATGAGCCTGGTACTCATGCCAACATTCCGTGCGGCTTTAGTTGGACTCTCTTCTTGTATATCTAAGTCCTGAAAACATTCTTGAAGAATGATTACTCAAAAGACTACTAAAAGGTATTCTAAAACTAAAAAAGGTTAGAAAGTAAAAGATGCTTGAAAATACAATCAATGTCTAGCGATAGGTTTACAGATTCATTGAGTTTTAAAAAGCTTATCAGATAATTAATTATTGAAAATTATTCTTAATTGACTCTAATATTTTTGGTAAAAAATTAAAAAAATTCTCTCACCTCAAGAGTATACAAATGCTATAACTTGTATTCACTCAAATGTTTTGTGAATCAAATCATCAAATGAGGGTGAGGAACCCCTTTATTTATAGTTGAAACCCCCATGAATCAATGGCTAGGATTGACTTATTCCAATTGTTATTACAGAGTCCAAGATTACAAAGAGATTACACGAGATATGCATCAAGAGTTTGAATTATGTAGGGAACTATCCTATCCTTAAGAGTCTCCAAATCCTTTTAGAAAGTTTTGTTTATTGGGTTTACTTGGGTCTATTAGGGCCTGGTTTGCCTATACCAGGGCTTGGTCCATCTAAGGCCCTTCTAGAAGTGTTAAGCTTGGTCTGGGGAGCCTGTGTGGATAGTTTGGGCAATTTTGGTGCTTGCGCATGTATTCTGCACCCCTGTTACGAGCCCAAAGGCCTAAGACCTCATCACCGGTGCCTTGACCTCGATTGTACATGCACGGGCAGTGATACTTTCCTCCACCTAATTTTACGACACCCTCGTCACGTGCTCTGAATGAAATTGGTTGATCTAGTCCTCAAATTGCCAAAGATTTTCAGTTGGTTCCTAACTTGCCTTACCATTGGAAAGTCTCTTCCACTGCACCAAATACTAATGTCTTGGCTTGTAATTTTGCACCTTAGAACCCTGTCAGTTGAAATGCACTGGACCTCTTTGTCATATGAGGCCTTTTATACCTATAGGTGCATGTCGTGACTCTACCTATGCTAGATCCTTTCGATCCTTATGAAATGACTTTAACATTCTAACATGGAAAATTGGGTGTACTTTTTACTTTAGTGGTATTTTCAGCTTGTAGGCTACTTTGCCTACTCTCTTCAAAATTTTGAAAGATTCTCCATATCTTTGAACTAGTCCTATGCATGCCCCTATGGTGTAAGGCTGAGTGTAGCTTCACCATCACCAAGTCATTAACCTGGTATTACAAATCTCATCACTTGTGATTTACCCGCCTCTTGCTCTTCTTGGCTATTTTGTGTAGACAGACTCTTGCAAAGTCTACTTGCTTCTGCCAAAGCATGGCAAATTATAAGTCATTGGATTAGGTCCAATGTAGCTTGCTATAATAGCTTTTAAAGTGAGTGTTTGGTGGCCTATCACTAATTCAAATGGACTCTAGTTTATCACCTCACTCTATTGCAAGTTGTAAGAAAACTAGGTAACATCCAACAGCTTGGGCCAATTTTATTGTGTTGCACTAACATAGTGCATGAGGTAGATATCCAATAAACCATTAACTTTCTTGGTCTGGCCATCAGTTTATGGATGCATGCTGGTGGAAAAGTTTAAGTTTGACCTTAAGAGCTTAAACAACTCTATCTAGAACCGCCTAGTAAAACATTCATCTTGATCACTAATGATGGTCTATCGTATGTCCTAATACTTCATCACATTCTTCAGGAATAAGTGGGCTGCTTTCTTGGTTGTGCACTCCTTAGTTGTTGGAATGAATGTTCCATACTTGGAAAATCTGTCAACCACTAAGATGATGCTCAAAAACCCTTTTAACTTGGGTAGTCTAACTTTAAAATCTAATAAAATGCTCTGCCATAGGCTCTCCAGTATAGGTAATGGATCTAATAGATCGACTAGTAACTTCTACTCCATCTTGTCCTATTGGTAGACAAGATAAATTTTGACATAGGTCTCAATGTCATGCTGCATGTGAGGCCAATAATATCGATCTGCACCAATGATAAGGTACAATACACTTCAAGATGGCCAACCCACCTTAAGTCATGGTATTCTTGCATAACTTTCTTATGGAGTTTCCCATACTACGGCATAAATATCTCGTTCCCCTTGATGAAAAGTAAATCAACTTACAACAAAAAACATCTGGTTATACCTTGCTAGGCATATTTTATGAGCATCTTGGTTGTAAGATTGTGGGCCAGTCCTTCCTTAATGCACTACACTAGGGAACTATCAGGTCAATTAATGCAGCAAGCATCACCTTCCTACTGAGTGCATCAACCACTAAGTTAGCCTTTCTTAGCTTGCACTCAATGCTAAAATCAAACTCTACAAAGAAATCATGCCATCTAGCTTGCTTGAGAGATAACTTTTTCTAAGTTTAAAGTAGCTTATCTCAACATTATCAATCCTAACTATAAATCTGGATCCCAGTAGGTAATGTTTCCATATACATAAATAGTGCATCACTGCTATCATATTTTTTCTTGGATTGTATACTTATGCTCAGTTTCATTGAGCTTTCGACTCTCAAAAGTAATCAGATGGTTTTCTTGCATCAATATTTCTCAAATGGTAAAGTCTAATGCATCCATATACACCTCATATAGTTAAATATGATCCAACAAAGCAAAAATAAGCTATTCAATCACTATACGTTTTAGTCGATCAAAGGCTTGCTGACACTTCTGACTTTAATCCCACACTTTTTCTTTCTTGAGTATGTCTATCAATAGTGTGGTGATGGTAGAATGACCTTTGATGAAGCGCATGTAGTAGTTCACCAATCCAAGAAATGATCTTAGTTTTGTGACTTCGGTTAGTGGCTTTCAAACTAGTATGGCCTGGACTTTACTTCCATCCATCCAGATCTTGCCACATCTAACAATGTACCTTAAAAATGGCTCATCTTTTTTTTAGTAAAGAAACTTTTTTTCTTCACCAACAGTTCATTTTCTCGTAATACCTGAAACATTTGCCTAAGGTGTTTCACATGCTCTTCCAATGATCAATTATAAATCATAATAAAAAGATTTAGGAATAGCTACAGTACCTTATTTATTAAGGTGTAAAATGTTATCAACGTATTGGTCAAGCTAAAATGCATCACTAAGAACTCATAAGATCTATAGCGAGTAATATAAGCTATCTTGGGCTCTTCTCACTCAATAATTCTAACTTGGTAGTACCTTGATCGTAAGTCTAGCTTAATGAGCCACCTAGCATCTTTAAGCTGGTCAAATAAATCAACAATGAGTGGGATTGGCTACTTGTTCTTTACTGTCAGCTTGTTCAATGCTCTGTAATCTATGCATAGTCACAAAGACCCATTATGCTTTCATTCGAACAACATTGGGGCACCAAATGAGGCTTTTAATGGTTTAATGTAGCCTGTATCAATAAGCATCTTGAATTGCTTCCTTAACTCTTCCAATTTCGGAAGTGACATTCGATATAGAGCTCTGACTGATAGGATAACATTCAACACTAGCTCAATTCTATGATCCACTTTTCTTTTTAGTGGTAACCTCTTAGGCAATTCGATGGGCATTAAGTTTCTAAATGACTCTTGCACCTCTAGCACTTCTAAGGAGGTGTCAACATTGTTCTATCTGGACTCTTCCATCTTTAAAGCTATAAGAAAAGTGTATTTATTCTTGCTCACTCTCTTGGCCAATTGTGTGGTAGACAACATCTTGATCCCTGATCTTGATTCTTGTCTTATATTGACGATCTAATATGTAAATACAATTGAAAAAAAATACCATAAGTGCACCAATACAGTCAAAGAATTCTTAACTAACAACAAGATCATAATCATTTAGAAGAATTACCTCAACTGATTCCTTGCCTTTCCACTTACCAAGTTATAGCCCCAAGCTCCACTTCATGTGCTATGCCAATTGTAATTATACCAGTTCTTTTTTGTACCTTCAAGTTTAGCTTTTGAGCTACATCTTCATATATGAATAAGTAAGATGCTTCTATGTCCACAAATGTATTTAGTTTCTTATCTGTAATCATCATATCTATAAATATCAGTCTTTTCTACTTTTGCACCTTTTGCTTGGATTGAATTTAGCACAATCAAGCCAAGCTTTATGGTCTCTTTCTTTAACGCTTTACGATCCTTCTTATTGATGGCAAATAACTTAATTTTTTAAGGGCAGTCTCTCGACATGTATGGATCTTCATAAATGAAACAAGTTACTGGCTCACGATCCTTATTGTTCCACTACTTTAGCTTTCACTCGACCTTTATTCCTATCTTTGGACTATCAATCTTTGTTTTTCTCATTGGAATATTGGTCTTTATCAATACCTTTTGGCTTGAATGATTTAGACTTTTTTTGTGACCAAATCTTCACCAAAAACTCAGTAGCTATCATGGTTTTGGCTAGATCTTTGACACCCTTTCACTGTAACTCATTCTTAGCCCATG